TGCAACCAAAGCCTGTAAACGCATTATTTCTCAGGCAGCAGTAGGGGACGAGGCAAACGACCAGCAGGAGGCGGATAAGGAAATTTCCAGTTCATTAGATGACAGCAAAGAGAATGAACGGCTACCAACAACACAGCATGTTCAGCTACCTGAGCAAAAGACTGAACTGAATAAGGAGAAGGATGATTTGTTGGCCGCCTGGCAGCGTCAGATGAACAGCACTAGCACTGACTTGGATTTGCGCCTACGTGAGATCAACGCAAAGCGCCAAGAGGCGCTCCAAAGCAAACCGCGTGCTCGTCGCCATAGACCTGTAGTGGCCAACAAAAAGAAGGCCCTAGCGCTATCGGTGTCCCTCACGCCGCTCATTTCAAAGAAGAGAACCCAAAGGCGAAGAAGGGAACCCAAAGGCAGTAACAATGTTGAAGGCGAGTTTACCATAAAGATAACAACGCCTCAGAAGCCACTAGTAAAACCGAAAGTTGTCAGCCAGGATATACTCGAGCCGAAGGAAGTCATGAGGCCCAAGGAGTCCAAACAGAATAAAGAATACAACCCAACTAAAAAAATCGTTAAGTCAGAGCATGAGCAGCAGCTCGAGTCTATGCAGCAAACAGAACAACCTGTGACGCAGCCAGCCGTTGTCAATCTGAATACAAAGAACAAGCCGCCAGATTGTGACATGTCCAACATGGCGGTTCTTTTGGAGACGCCATTTAAGGTGACACTAACAGAAGTTGGTGACATACCGCCGACGCCAGGGCCAATGTTGATGGATACGCCTTATGCTAAACTGCTGCCATCTGCATCGTTTCTTTTTGGCAGCGATACAAAGAGCATACTTGATACGCCCATGTTGACAGCCATTACGCCGGGCATACGTCTAACGACGCCCTTTGGCCATGCGCTTAACACTCCGCACAGCAGCGCGGCGAAAACGGAATACTCCGGCGGCAGCTCCTATTATCGACCAGATGAGGCCGAGCATACGGACACAAATGCACAGTGCGCTCTGCCATCCACGTCCCCCAGAGACCTTGTGGAACAGGCACCCAAACAATTCACAACTCACATTGAGCTACAGGCTGAGCGGTTGCCCGTTGAGCCGACGGTGCTGCGTCGTGTGCGCTCGTTCGGGAGCGAGGCAGTGGACAGTATTGAGGGTGCCGCAGCCTTGTCTGGTAATGGGGAGTCGTCGACGTTGTTCGTAGAGACTCCGCACTATAAACTGGTGTCAGGACTGCCTGATGCTGTTGTGGAGCATTCTAGCAGCAACTCGAGTGGCAGTAGCTCAACCTCCTCCAGCAGCTGCAGCTCATCCAGTAGTGGCAGCAGCAGTAACAGCAGCCTAAATACATCCGCCTCTTCGGCAATGTCTGGTAGATTGACAAACGCTGTGACTCCTGCACGACCGATAAAACTATTGGAGCTAGAAAATCTATCTGATATTAGCAGCACTGAGGACGACGAGTGGCTAAAGGTAGCTGCTGCCTGCGGTTCATTGGATGCTCCACCGCTGGATATCGACAGTGAACCAGCTAAACTGGTTAGCCAGGATGGTGAGGTGCGCTATCCCCTGCGTAGTTGGCTGACACCAAGCAAGGAAGCTGCTGCGGCAGCTACGGTTGCGGCGGATGCTGACACAAGTGGTGAAATGGCTCCACCAGCTCCAGTGCCTGAGAAGTTAGTGCCGAACGTAAAAGCTCAGATAACAATCAACTCAAAAGAGGAGTCTATTGAGCAGCGCATGATGGATTTGGCCGCGGTGCGTGAGCGCGTCAAGGCGAAGTTTAAGCAGCAGACAACGCCAAAAGGGCGCCCTAGAAAAGTAAACAAAAAGCTCTCAACGATGCGCGAAACAGCCAAGCTGGCGAATCCCAATGTAAGCCAAGGACATAAATCACCTATGAAGGAGTTTGTAAAAGTGACAACGGATAAGGAAGAAAAAGTGAACAATGCAAGTGAACCAGAGAAGAACCAGGAGACATCGGCTGGCAAACCAGTGAATCCGATGCTAATCAAGTCAAGTGAAGGAGTCCAAAGTAATTTGGAAAAGCCGGAACCAGCTAGCAGTAATCTTGATCCCGCGCTTCTTTTTGCTCTGAATCTTAGCGCCAAGAAACAACAGCAGCCCAGGACTGGACGTGTTGCTGTACAAATTTCAGCTCAACCTGCTCCCTCGATGACCACGGGTCAGCGACGTGGTCGACCTAGGAAGCCACCAAATATGGAGCCGTCGCGCTCCAGCATGCGACGCTCCTGCCGACTCATTGACAACAAAAGTAAATTGACTTTAGACTGATTTTTCTTGCCGTTGATCATTTATGCTTTGCCTGTTATTTTCTTCGTGTAGCTCCTGCGCCTGAAGAGCCACGGCCGTGCGAGGCAGGTAGACCAGTGAAGACATCGAACAATACCAAAGTAACAAAAAAACCAGCTAAGAAACGAGCTGAGGCGCGCACTGAGACTGCAGCGCCTTCACTAGCCACGCTGGCCGAAGCACAGACAACGCAGCAGTCAGCCGAACAGCTGCAGCCCCGGAGTCAGCCGCCTGCATCGAGCGCGGCTCCTGATGCCAGTGGCGACTACGATCTGGATATGTGCCTGACAAGCAGTCATGTGGCCAACACATATAGCTTTGCCTATGAGGACAGCGGCAGCAAGCCGACGAAACCTGTGCTACGTCAGCCGCCCGCGTTCTTCAAGAATTTTCAAATGCGCATCATGGTCGACAACGAAATGCACAGCGTACGCATAACGAGTCCACAGGTGCTCCATCAGTCACTGGACGCCACCGACGACAATGCGAGCCCCACTGGTATACGCAATATACCCAAGAAACGCATCATTCACTTCACCAGTGTAGGCGGCGGCATCCAGGAGCTGGCAGCGGCCCAGGACATGCCCATGGCGTCATCCACGCCGTTGGCCACGAATACACAGATCGAGGAGCACGATGACAACGACATGGAAGTGGCCTCGATGTAAGTAAAACCTTAATTTAATATGATAATCGCGCTACCTCTACTGCTAAAGGTAAATTAAATCGATAGTCGACATTATACGACCCATGACGTAGTTTATGGCAACGCTACAAGGATTGCTTATAAATATTATATCGTCATTAGTTTGGACTGTGAAAGCTTATGCAAATTTAAGATTGAATAATTTAGTTTACTTTCAATTCCTATGCATTGAAGAACAATCGTAAATTTATTCATAAATTATTTATATGTAACTGGGCTGAACCCATTTAAGAAGGGAAATCGGCGTATCATGATCCAGGTTCTCATAATCCATAAGATATATAGATTTTAAACTTCGTATGTAGGTCTCTATATATGAATATATCATCAAGATTGTTTCAAATAATTTCAAAATTTCTTACCGGTTCGCAATATTACCAAAATATTTTAAATTTCAGTAAATTGTCAATTAAAGGCTATATGCATAAATGTTTTTACATTGACCAAGTTAAGAAAGTGAGGTGACATGCCTTGCCGAAGAGATTTTTGCTTTGATGTTTCTATACCCTGAACCCATTGAAAATGGGAAATCAATGTATAATTATTTTATGAAAATGTATGTAATATGTGAAAGAAGGTGTGGCAGACCCTATAATGTATATATTCTTAATCAGGGCGACGAGCTGAACCGATATAGCCATACTCCTGTATACCATACGCCGTACAAGTTTATTATATTTTTACGATAACTCATCCGATCTCTTTTTTATCGAGAATAATTGATAAATTTATTTCATTTTTTCGGCGTAATTTGAATACTCTTTGACTTTCAGACTTATTGTGTATATACATTTACAGGCTTTGGATACCACGGCCCCTTCGCCCCCAATTTGTAAAAACACGTATTTCAAGTACTAGAGACTTCTCCTTTGAAATATACACACATTTTTTCTGAAAGTTTCAGAAAGATAGTCCTACTACAATAGAAATGATTCAGCGAATAAATTCTCATAATAATGCCAACACTGCAGCGCAGCCCAAGCGCAGTCTATGTTAACTGCACAATTAGCATAGCGCGTGCTTATACGTACGCGTGGATGTATGTACATACATATGTGTCATGTGTTTTTGAATGTGTGTATAAAAGAAGTGCAAAGTGATTGAAATGTCATTTCATTGCAGGGTTCAGGGTATCTCCTAGTCGAGCAGTGTCTAGTATCACTTGTTTTTTTTTTTTTGAAAATTTGACGTTGTATTGTCGAGTTCGAAAATGTTTCATACAAGCTAAAGAGTAAATTGATCGAGCTTCTAATAGTCGGGCACCACCGACTAGAGCTTTCTTACTTGTTCTATTTAAATTTTTCAATATTTATTAATTTATTCATTTAGAAGTTCGAGTTAATATAAAAATTAAAACTAGCTTATTAGTCTAGCGCGGGCTACAGAAGCCTTCGAAGTTCGAAACCTTGTCAAACGTATGTATATGTATTATATACGCAAATAGTGGTTCTTCATTGTCAAATTACTAAAGGCGCTGTCAAAATAATATAAATCATTTACTGAACAAGAGAGGCAGAAATTATAAAAATAAATTTCTTTTTCTGTGAAACTATGTAGTTTGTTCTGAATCTAGTTTGTTGTATATGCAAATGATTAACTCTGTCAAAAACGAAATAACAAGATTTGTATGCCAAACTGTCTCACTCTGATTAATAAATAGATTATGCCATACTATTGCTATCCTCTTCTATCATATCTTGAATCATACTCTTCTTCCGCTTCTTACATACATAGTAATACGCCGCAGAAATCCAACACGAGCGAGGAGCAGCAAATGGAGTTGCACGATGCTGGCGTTCAGATCGAGGATATTGAATCTATACTCTCGCATTTACATGGAACATAATCCCAGCGGTTTTTATTTCTAATATATATATATATATATATATATATATGTTTTTTATTATATTATTATCATTATTATTATTATTATTATTTTTTTTTTTTTTGTTTTCGGTTTTTATGAACTTTAATATATAAAAAACATTGAAAGGATTTTGATATTTAGTTAAAATTAAATATGTTGTAGTCACGTATTGTTCGGTACGTATGTTCGTAAAAGATTAAGTTTAATAAATTATCGGCTATACTAATTAAGCTGCACCCATATTTAGTTGTATGCGATGAAATCTTTAATATTAATCTCTGTAAATATTTCTTGGGAATATTCGAATCACGAAGGTTTTAAGCAGTCTATATTTTTAAATTGGATAGCGCACATATTATATACGATATAAGATAATACTATTGTAAAAAATACATAAAAGGTTCTCAACTTGTCACGTGACCCTAGTGGGCATACGACGATTGCACGAGTCCATATTCCAAATTTTATGGGCCTGCCTTATATAGAGGTATATTTTATGGTTTGTCCGGAGAAGATGCACATAGTAACGTGTCGTCCACTTCTTTACCTAGAGCAGCATGGATTAATGTTCCAGAATTTAAATATATATGCAGTTGTAAATAAGGCAGACATAAAGATATCGAGGCGGATTCTAGATGTATGTACATATATGTAAATACAATCACACCTTTACCGTAAAGGAGATCAGGATACAGAGTATATTCAAGCCGGCTATACCAGACTTGAGAACTCTTTCAATCGTTCGCTTTGAGTAGTATTTTATATAATTGTCAAATTATGCAATCAGACGAAGTGCCCAGGGGGAGGCTTTGGGTGGTTGCATCCCGCGACAACATTTAAATTGAATGGAATTTTTTGAATTGACAACTAGACAGACTTGCAATTGCATATTGTCTTAACAACTGCCAATCGATGGACTCAAATTATGTGCAATTTTACGAATTGAGCAAGGACTGTCTCTTTGGCAATCGACTAATTTACGGTCAGCACTTGCAGTTGACGGTCAGAATGGATCGGACTAATATTGTGAGGCTCTGGCTGTGCATTAACGTAAGCCTGGTCACTGCTAAAGAGCTTAAGATAAGTATGCAAACTACTTGTCGGAATACTTATTTCAATTGCTTTAATTTTAACATTTCTCTCGCTTTACCGCCAGCCTTTTGGGTCGAGCCAGTACAGAGAGCAGAGTTTGAAACTGATATTGCATCTGTTCTTAAGGAGCTGAAAACTTTGCAGTTGGATACGCGGATCAGCGATGCGGTGGTGCAACTAAGTCGCACCGACGACCAACAGGACATGGACAGCTGTGAGTAAAGTGGGCTATCTGTGTGTATTGCATTTTTTTTATCACAATATCCCCAATTGGGACTAGCGTAGTCTGTGAGATTCTTGGCAGCGTGGGCAGTTCGGTGATTATCGATCTGAGTTACAGTCGCTGGTCTCACGGCTACGAGCTGGCTCATACACATGGCTTTGCTTATATGCGTTTTGACCGGATAATGCGTCCCTTTCTGAATATGTTTGCCGATTTTATGCGCCAGAAGCAGGCCAATAATGTGGTTATGATTTTCCAAAATTCCCGCGACACCATGGAGGCCATGAAGCAGCTAATGACCGGTTATCCATTCCGCGCTCTTATTCTGGACGCCAGTGATAAGCAATCGGAGGACTTTGTTGAGCGACTGGTTCGATTGAGACCCGCTCCCAATTACTATGCCATATTTGCCCGCGGCGCTGCTATGAATGGAATCTTTGAGCGCGTGAGTAAAATCGAAGGCAGCTCGCAAACATTTTGAAAGTACTATAGACCATTGCAGGTCAATATGGGTAACCTTTTCCAGCGGCCCACCGAATGGCATTTCGTTTTTCTCGATACCAGAGATCGCGTTTTCAAATACAAACAACAGGTGGAGTTTTCTACGCGCTTCACCTTAAACGCACGTGCCATCTGTCGATCGATGCAGATGCGAGACCTTTACTGTGGCAGTGGATTCACGGTAAGCCTTAAAAAAGCGCATTTGATTGAAATCAGACTTAAAACAAGTGAGAACGTCGCAGTCGGCCGATACCGATTGCAGAATACTTAATCGCAACCCAAACACTGACAATCAATGTATATAGTGCAATGTTTTTACCCTGAACCCATTTTCAATGGGAAATCAGGGCATAATGGTTTTGTTGAAATGTATGTCCGTATGTATGAACGCGTCGATTTCCGCAGATATAAGAGCTAGAGACTTCAAATTTTTTTTCAAATGTCTGTAGGTAGCGCAGATATCGAGTGTATCTCCAAAAATTGATAACTCATCCCGTTATTTTGTTATCGATTAAAAACATTATCGGAGATTAGCAAGCAATTAAATGGGTTTAGATCGTTTGTGCATGGGGTGCAATATGGGGATATTGAAAATATTATTGCGAATAGAGGCCGAATATCAACAATAACACCCCGCGACAAAAGACAACTGGCCAAAATTCTTAAGGCTGATCGTCGCCAATCTTTAAGAAATTTGGCTTCTGAGTGGTCGCAGACAATTGGCAAAACTGTCAAGCGAGAATTGAGTAAGAAAGCTCTAGTCGAGACTGCTCGACTACGAGATCCCCTAAACCCTTCGAGCAATAGCTATTTCAATCATTTTTCGCGTCTATCTGCTTACACAAGAAACACGCGCACACACTCGCAATCACACACATACGCATACACACACACACACAAGCAGCCACGCATAAACACGCATGGGCTGCAGTGTGCGCTTACTAGAGAACTTAATTGTTTAATAATGAATGATTATGATTATAACATGAATATGCATGTATTTGCCAAAGCACAAGTCTCTAGTATTTGAAATACGTCTTTTACAAATATGTGGGTGAGGGGGTGGATACAGAAGTGGGGGTAAATTTTAACAAAATCCGAAATTGTTAAAGTACATATAAGTCTACATTTGAAATTTGCAAGTTCTAGCTCTAAAGGTGTAGGAGATATAATAAAATAACTAGCTTTCGATAAGGTTTTTAATCGATAATAAAATATCGGGAGTATGCGCGTGATATACACGAACCTAGGAAAAAATGGCAAGTCTCAAGCTCTTATATCTTCTGAGATCAACGCGTTCATACATACGGTCGGACGGATAGACAGACGGACAGGGCCAAATCGACTCAGCTCGTCACACTGATCAAGAATATATATACTTTGTGGGGTCTGCCACGCCTCCTTCTGCCTGTTACATACATTTCAACAAAACCATTATACCCTGATTTCCCATTTTCAATGGGTTCCGGGTTGAAGAAGAATTGAAGATTGAAGATGTTTGTGTCGAGAGAAGTCGAGAATTTTATTTAGAAAAGCAACGCAGAGAAGGTAAATATTGGTAATATTGGTAAAGGTAAATATTGATGAAAGAAATGTTATTTACATATGTTGGGAAAAATAGGCAGTATGGAGAAGTATAAGTCAGGCAGTCATGAATATAATAACAATTAAATATAAGGATGTATTCATATATATGGATGTTCTTCTTGTGGAATTAGTCCCAAGATAATGTAATTATGCTAAATATGAAGGAAGTAAAAGTCGAATGTATGTGTGAATCTGTGTGACAACTGATTTATTTCATTTTTGTGTGTGGTTGGGGGGGGTGCTGGTGGTAGTAGTTGGCAGTCCCGGAATGGGCTCCGGCCCAGATGGTCACCCTAAAATATACTTGTTTAAGCATCGCAAGCATTGCTGCAAAACGAAAGGAATGGTACTCAAAGTCGCCAAGTATTCTATTTTACTTTACTTCTTACGCTTTGAGCAGAATAAAACACGCACACTGCGTGTGTGCATGTGTTGTTTCTCTCCAGGTGGTTTAGGGGATTTCGTAGTCGAGCAGTCTCGACTATAGCTTTCTTACTTGTTTTATTATTGTAACCAGCCCCGTTCTAAATGGACTTGCAGATTTGAATGTTATCTAAGAATGACTGAATCTTTGCAGTTACAACGCGCCTTGCTGTTGAGTGTGCTAAGGAGTCTGATTGACTCGGCGGAGATGAGTCCAGAGTTTCCAGAGCCAGTTTATCTAAACTGCAGCAGCAGTATTGAAGCAGGTGGTGGAGCTGCAGCCAAAAGCCTGGAGAATGTACACTGGAACAACTTTGTGGGGTATGTGCCGAGCAGCGAGGATCCCTATACCACCGAAGCGCTGATTGAGGCGAGCGATGAGGAGTCGGTGCCACATTTGACGTTTGTGGCCAACATTTCCGCAGGCTACTATTCGAGCGAACATGAGGCCAAGACGGATTTGGCCATTTGGGTATCGGGCACACTGCGACTTCTCAATGAGACAATTAGTCCAACTAGACGTTTTTTTCGAATCGGCACCGCTGAGAGCGTGCCGTGGAGCTATTATCGTCGCAATCCGAACACTGGTGAGCTGATCCTCAGCAAAAGCGGTGCTCCCATCTGGGAGGGCTACTGCATTGATTTTATAAAACGGTTAGCAGAGAAGCTCAACTTTGACTACGAAATCGTTGCACCCGTACAGGGGCACATGGGCGAGCGCAACGAGCGGGGCGAGTGGGATGGCGTAATTGGCGATTTGGTAAGTGGCGAGACGGACTTGGCCATCGCTGCACTTAAGATGTATTCGGAGCGTGAGGAAGTGGTTGACTTTCTACCACCCTATTACGAACAGACTGGCATTTCTATAGTGATGCGAAAACCGATTCGACGCACCTCGCTGTTCAAGTTTATGACGGTGCTGCGGCTTGAGGTCTGGTTGAGCATCGTTGCCGCCCTGGTGGGCACAGCATTGATGATCTGGTTCATGGATAAGTATTCACCCTATAGCTCACGCAATAATCGCGACGCTTATCCATATGAATGCCGCGAGTTTACGCTTCGGGAAAGTTTCTGGTTCGCCCTGACCTCATTCACACCGCAAGGCGGCGGTGAGGCTCCGAAAGCCGTTTCCGGACGCTTGCTAGTTGCTGCATATTGGCTGTTCGTGGTTCTCATGCTCGCCACGTTTACGGCCAACTTGGCTGCGTTTCTTACGGTGGAGCGTATGCAGACGCCTGTACAGTCGTTGGAGCAGCTGGCGAGACAATCTCGCATTAACTATACGGTGGTCAAGGACTCTGACACGCATCAGTACTTTATAAATATGAAGTTCGCCGAGGATACGTTGTATCGCATGTGGAAGGAGCTGGCATTGAATGCATCCAAGGACTTTCGAAAGTTTCGAATTTGGGACTATCCCATTAAGGAACAGTTCGGACATATTTTGCTAGCCATTAATAGCTCATTGCCGGTCGCGAATTCTACAGAAGGATTTAAAAATGTGGATGCGCACGGCAATGCGGATTATGCTTTCATACACGATTCAGCAGAGATCAAGTACGAGGTAACTAGAAACTGCAATCTGACAGAGGTTGGTGAGGTGTTTGCCGAGCAACCCTATGCTGTTGCCGTGCAGCAGGGCAGCCATCTGGGTGTAAGTATTACATAATTTTCATATGAAAAGCTGTTCACCTCGATTTATGGGCAGGATGAGCTGAGCTATGCAATTTTGGAACTGCAAAAGGATCGCTTTTTCGAAGAGCTCAAAGGCAAATATTGGAATCAATCAAATTTGCGCCTGTGTCCACTGTCTGATGACCAGGAAGGTATCACCCTGCAGAGCTTGGGTGGTGTTTTCATAGCCACCTTGTTTGGCCTTATTATAGCCATGATAACGCTCGTCATTGAGATAATGTACTACCAGAAAAAGCAGAAGTCCTTGGCGCTGGTAACCCAGGTTAAGCCTCTGGATATGAACGAGTTCACAAAATTTGCCTGGCTTAACACAGAAGGGAAAGACAAGGATATAACAAAGAAAGTTAAAGCACCACCCAAGAAGCCAACTAAAGTGACACCGCCACCTTCATTTGAAACTGCTACGTTTCGAGGCAGGAAGACAGCTGAAACTGTAACGCTGGGTACTGGAAAGCTTAAACCCGGTGCTCGAGAACATGGGCTACATTTTCGTCGGGACCTAACCGACGCACAGTCTCGCATAGCTTATATAGAATAAATTGATCATACTTTTCTCAACTGCTCTTAGCTGGTTCTACCATCATTTTATGTTTTACTGCCTTTTAAAGCTCATTCATAAATGTGGAATGGGTACATAAAATAGGGTCCGTAGTCTATCTGTATATTCATATGAACCTAAACCTGTGCAGCGCTATTAGGACTAAAGGCTTGCAATTTAGAATATATATGTACATACTTATGGGTAAACTTTTGAGTGTTCCGATTTTCTCATTACTCTAAATAAAATTCTAGACAGCTGGAATTTGATAAAAAAAAATATACGGTGGACAGATCTACGCCCATAGGGAGCGAGGCGAACAGCAATTGTTATTAAGTTATTGGTAATCTCAATCAATGGCCCGAAAAAGCATTTAAGTCTCTTTTTGGGCGTGAAATATTACAAAAAAAAAAGTAATTAGCCACAGCTGTAAAGTGCGAGACTCAAAATTACATTTTTTTCCATAAAATTCTAATGTAATACTGTAGCTATTACAATTTGTATTATTAGAGGAGTCCCAATATTTTTTTTCCTGTTGACCTACATTGTATCGTACATATGTATGTATGTATGTACATACATATTTATATTAATGGGAGGCGAATAAAATACATACATACATACATAGAAAAAAAAACTATCTTTCAATGTTGAGGGGCTAGCAACGATGGTCAATGAGTATTCTACAGTTGATATTCTTCTTAAATATTTTTGTTTGTAAATTCAAAATAGCTTAAATAAATGCCTTGCTATACATGTATTCATTCAAATAGTTTACTGCCTTTTCAATGTCAAAAACCAACAAAAAATTCTTTAAGTGTCTGAATTTTGCCAATGATTCAATTAAATTTTATCACGTATGTACGCATTGGGTTTGTTTTGCAAGGTTTCAGTTGCTAAGGTTGAAATTTGCATTGAAGCTTTTTTTTAATATATATATATATATTTTTTTTTAACCAAAAATAAGTAAGCTTTCATTCATCTTTGATACGTGTATTTAAGATTTTAAAGGCCATACATATTTTTAGGCAAAATAAATTTTTAAATTTGCGATAACTGCGCTGCGGTCCCGAAAATGATATCGATTAATCGATAAGAATTTTGCGCACCACAAAGAGTTCCAATGTATTTGCTGCAACTGTTTTTATTGTGTGCAACAAGACGACAAACGTAAATTTTAAGTTATCGCTTAACTGTGGACAATTGTGATTGCAACAGTAGCAGAATCGGCAAAAGCGCTGCAAATCGAGACTAATTAATTATAATCAACGCAACATTTGTTTCTAAAATACCCATATCGATTTCGATAGATGCAAACAGTGCCACACGGGCTACAGGCACTGCAGGCAAAATAAACAAGAGCAAGAAAAATGCGTGCGCTAATGCCAGCGCATATATTAAATATTAAATCAATATTTTCTACACTAATCACGGTGTTACTCATTTCTCCAAATGTGGTTTTATCGCGTAAACATCACTTGGAAGTTCGCGTAAGTAAATGTAAACTTCCATTAACTGATCCCAAAGTTTATTTGACATGTATGTATGTAGATGTATGTACAATATACATCTATGCATATCTATGTAAATATGTATATATATGTAAATATGTTTCTTTGTTCATTTGCAGAATGATATGCGTCCGTACATTGCGTTGAGCACCTTCGGCTTTTACACAAACGGGCATTTGGATGTCCAGCTTAGTCAGCTGACCGTGGATGATGAGCAGGCAACCGATTTGGTGTGTATAATGATACCATTGCTTGTATATAACAAGAATTTGTAACTAACATACATATATTATGGGATTACAGTTCGGTCTATCTCTGGATAAGACAACTATTGATCAGCTCAATCCGTACCTGGACTCGCACCAAAACAAGTGCATACTAGAAGAGCCCCCATCCAAACAAAAAAGTGGCCCAATACTTTTTTTTCTACTTGATCTGAAGGAGCTGAAGTATGTTTCTAATTGATTCTACCGAATGGGTTAATATATACATTTGCATTCTTTCAGAGTACGTGTAAAATGCTCGCCAGAATGGGTAAACAAACATGTCTACAAGGATGTCATGTACCGTCACAAGCGCAACTCACATCTGACTAAGGTCAGTGATTCGGCATTATTTATGCAGAAGCGTCGACGTCGTGCTGTGGTTCCAATTGGTTCCGTGGAAGCTGATGATGACATGGATGATCATTCGTTTGAGGAGCCCTTGCAGCCAGAGATGGAGGCAGCTGAGGCTAAGGCAAATGCAAATCTTAAGCAGCCAAATTTGTCATCACCCATTGTGGCTGGTAAAATTGACGGAGCTGCTAAGGCGGATGTGGCAAATGTTAAAGATGCTATAGCAGAAGCAGCCGGTGTTAAACACAAACAGTTCTCTGTTTTGCAACCAAAGGTAGAGTTAGCCGCGAGTGCACCCTCGGCTTTAGCCGGGCCGTCCTCTGTTCGCATGGCTGCAGTCACAGGTGGCAACAGTGAATCACAAGTTGGCGCTGCAGGTATTAACAACGTTAACATCGATGCTGGTGTCGTGGCTGTTGCATCATCGACGTCGTCTAGTAGTAACAATAAGAAGATAAAAACTAATGGTGATGCTGAAGTGCAGCCAGCAATGCCTGTAGACAGAGCCGTGATAACAGGCTCGGTGTCTGACATTTACGACTCCAACTATTACAGACAATCGCAAGAGGAGTTATGCAGAAATTTCTCTCTGCCGCTCAACAAGATAACAGTTGATGGTACCAACTACTACAACTTCACATTTTCCATGTTTGTAGCAACGCAGCATGATGAGGGGTTGTATAATTTGTACTTCCATGCCTGTCCCAATTATCAACGCCCCAAGATCTTGTCGTTTAATGTGAGTTCTGTAACGATAGCCTCAATAACCAAATTAATTGATGTTTGTTTAGGTGGATATTGAGGAGAACAATAATGGCAACTATTTGTCAGCTGGAGAAATGCCGCTGCCGGCCTTGTACTTTATGATGAGTCTATTATTCTTTTTGTCCGGCCTATTCTGGGTATTCATTCTGAAGAAGAGCAAGTGAGTGCATAGTGTGAATAGACGTATTTCTTTTGATTCATAATGTATTATTGCATTGCAGGCACACCGTGTACAAGATACACTACCTGATGGCTGTGCTTGTGTTCTTAAAGTCGCTCTCTCTTATGTTCCATTCAATCAATTACCATTTTATTGAGAAACGTGGCGAGCATGTCGAAGCATGGGCCATACTGTACTACATTGCGCATCTATTGAAGGGTGCTGTCCTGTTTATCACTATTGTGCTCATTGGTACCGGTTGGACATTCATCAAACATATACTCTCCGATAAAGATAAAAAGATCTTCATGATTGTCATTCCGCTCCAGGTTGGCTACCAATAATTTTGTGTTTTATGCTTATATATATGTATATGTTTTTGTGTTTCCTACAGGTATTGGCCAATGTGGCCCAAATAATAACAGACGAATCAGATCAAAGCGACGCTGAATTCCGCACTTGGCACAATATTTTCTTCTTTGTGGATTTGCTCTGCTGCGGCGCTATACTGTTCCCCATCGTATGGTCTATCCGCCATTTGCACGAGGCGTCCGCCACGGACGGAAAGGCGGCAATTAACCTACGCAAGCTAAAACTTTTCCGGCAATTTTACATTATGATCGTCTGTTACATTTATTTTACGCGCATTATTGTGGACTTGCTGCAGATGACGGTTGTCTTTCAGTATGCCTGGTTGGACGAGATGTTTCGCGAGATGGCTACATATGTGTTCTTTGTGCTTACTGGCTACAAGTTCCGTCCAGTCTCTTCACATCCATATTTCACAGTGCCAGATGACGAGGAATACGACGATGTTGAGGTGGTTACCGAATCTGGTCTCACCGCATCAGTGCATCGTGTTAAGCCGCACAATCGGTCAGCTCAATCTAACACTATAACTATTATCGAGGGGAATGATGATGAGCGCGAAAATCTGATTGCGAAGCGGGAATCAAGCCATGAATACGATTAGAACTTTGGATAAAGCTAATCACATATAAATATATACATGCCTACACATATACACACATGCACGCGTGCACACACTCGCATGCATACAAAACGACAGTCATATATATATATATATATATATTTGTATTTATATAAGATACATATATTGCAGTGGTACTTTAAGCAAGACGAGTTCCATAACCGCCAAATGTTAAAAAATTTTCATTTGATTGGTATGGGATGAGTGATGTTTAGTTTTATAGCCTTGTAACAGCACCTCCCTCACCCTCTCTAGCTCTTTTAAGTAATGTTAAGCGCCCGTTGAACCTAAACGAACGTGTAAATACAAAGCGGCGCTTAACGCAACTCCCATACCCACATACACATACACATTTACAGACAAATAACACAGAGATTGATGCTTATACCCATTCGTTTTAAGATATAATTTTATGGAACATACGATACATTCATAAAGCTTTAATATACCATACAATAGACGACTCGAACTATAAATAGGCCCCATTCAATTTGGGCATCAGCTGTACGGTAAAAATCATGTAGGTGCAAACGGCATAGGCTATCTAGAATCGTTGGGCTTGGATTAGTTGCAAGCTTCGGCCGTTACTGCTGTTTCGCTTACCTGTGTCAGCAGATGATTGTCTAAAATAACTATGCCCATACAATCAATGCGCATCTGTTCGTGCAGAATTTGTAGCGAAAAGTTTTGGATCTGTGAAAGGAATTGGCGATTCGTATATACGGACTCAGTATAGAGATTAGTTCAGCACCTGCAGGGAAACCGGCGAACAACTAGTTGCAATATTATGCAGCCGGTAGGCGATCCGAGGAACTATTTGCATGAAGCTTTGGCAGGTGTAGAGAAAGGCGGGTATATGCAGGACTGCTGGCAATAATAGATAGTAGTCTATGGGAAGAACGAGAGAGAGGGAAAGAGGTTATTAATGAACAAGTAAGAAGGCTCCAGACAAGACTGCTCCCTGAACCCTCCAAGCTGATATTTTACTCATTCTACACTTCTGTTATGCACAAATGCATACACACGCATCCACACGGATGTATATCACGCGCTCTGCTGACTGCGCAATTAGCAGCGACTGCGCTTGGACTGCGCTGCAGTGTGGGCAATATTATAAGAATTTATTTGTTGAAAAATTTCTTTTGTAGACATACAATCTTAAAGAAACTTTTAGAGCGTAATCATATGGTTAAAATGTGTGTACATTCCAAAGCAGTCTCTAGTACTTGAAATGCGTTTTTTTTTTTTAAATTGTATATACATACACAGTATATCTGAAGTCGCTAGTCTAAAACTCTAAAACTGTTCAAATTAGGCTGAAAAAACAAACTCAATTTTTCGATTATTCTCGATAAAGAAGTTATCGGATGCGTTATCGAAAAAAATATCAAGTCTCTAGCTCTTATAACTTCTGAGATGTAGGCGTTCAGACGGACGGACGGCTCAACTCAACTCGATCAAGACTATATATGTATAAACATATTACTTTATATACTTTATGGGGTCCTCGATGATTCCCTCTGTCCGTTGCGTACTTTTTCACAAAACCATTATATCCTGATTTCCCATTTTCAATGGGTTCAGGGTATAAAAATAGTGGGAAAAGACTTACCCAAGTTGGTAATGTTGCTAAGCTTGGTATACAAAAAAAAATAGCAATCGACTGTGATGCGAATGTAAATCATAAGCAACACGGTAAGCATGGAGTAGCTGAACCCTCTTCTGTAGCAGGTGCACAGCTCGTGGATACGCGCGTAAATCATCTGCATTTCACGCACACGACGCCTTAGATATTCATTAAAGCCGAAAAAGCTGGCTGAGCTGTTAGCAAAGCTCGAGTATTCGACGAGTAGTATCAGCTCGCACTCCAACTGCAGGAGTTTCTGGCGCAACAGATCCATGTGTAGCACGAACTGGGTGTTGCGCAGGTGCACCACCAAGATGAACGGCTGAAAGGTGATCCAGAAGAGAACAAGGTGACGGGATCCCTCCTGCAGGGCCACATAAACACACAATAGCGCTAGCTCCAGCAAGAACGTTCCATAGAATATGGCCAGGAAGCGCCAATGTTGCACCAGCTGTTGCCGCAGGGTTAGACCTGATGGTGTGGTGGTTGCAGTTTGTGTCGCTGCCAGTGCTTCATACAACTGCCAAAAGCGTCCCAGGTAAGCTCGTTGCGACGATAGTGTCTCCCAGTAGATGCCTAGTATAGCCATTTCGGCAAAGCCAAACTTCATAGCATCATTAAAGCAGCTGAAATCGTCGCCTTTGTATAGGAACTCATCGTCGCTGGTCAAGCACATGTAAGCCACTCCACTGAATCCCATCAGCAGGCATCCGGTCCAGACATGTAGAAGCCTTGCCTTTCGCCGTGGATGCGCATCGCATGGTAAGGGCAGTCCGTGCATGCCCATCAGCTGATAGCAGCGCAGGCTAAAGTGCAGCACCTGGTCAATGCGGTAATCTCTCATTGTTTGACTTCGGCTCCAACAGCGATGACCCTATCGCTCCAAACATCCGTGGTCACGTGGCGTGAGAACGAACTAACTTCCTGCTTCATTGCACATTCGCATGGGTGAGGACGGAGTGACTAATAATATTGATTGCCTTCTTCATTCATGCAGATAACTTAATGGACATATATGTATGTATATACATACAGTTTGGCAAGAAAGTGTTTACACACAGGGAAAAAATTTTAATTTTTTACTTTGAGGCGAAATAAAAACTGTAAGAATATGCATATTATGTATGTATATGTATGCACATACATATATGTATTATATATGGATACCACGCACCCTTCGCCACCAATTAGTAAACAACGTATCTCAAGTATAAGAGACTTGTGCTTTAGAATGTACACACATTTTAACCATATGATCACACTCTGAAAGTTTCATTAAGATTGTCCGTCTACAAGACAGCTCCAGCACAGTCGCTGCTTATTGCGCAGTTAGCATAGCGCGAGTTTATACATATACATATACGTATGTACATGCGTGTGGATGCATGTGGATTTACATAAAAGAAGTGCAGAATGAGTAGCTTAGAGGGTTCATTTTGATGCTTTTGCATATTCCAGCTCGCTTCAATCGCAATCGAACCGAATACGATTGGAAGAGTCAGTATTTGGTCAGATGATGCTAAAATAAATCGCTACCAGTCTGACGGAAAGGAGGGCAACAGGGAAAGCTGAAAAAACGTTATGCCATGAAGAATAGTGGAGTGTGCCTGATGGTATGAGGCTGTTTCACATGGTGGAGCATCTACCCGCTGGTTGAGATCGAAGCTCTACCATCCAGATTTTGTGGATAATAGGGCGTCTCCCGAGGAAGAAGTCGCGTTTTAACAGCACAATGACCCCCAGTACAAAGCGAAAATCGTCAAGAATTAACTCGATTATCAAAAAATCTTGATAATGGAGTGGGCTACTCAAAGTCCAGACCAAAACCCCATGAAAAATCTCTGGGCATTAGTTAAAACAAGTAAGAAGACTCTAGTCGAGACTGCTCGACTAGGAGATACCCTGAACCCTCTAATCTGATAGTCAGTCTGCAATTCTTTTCGACATACATACATACACACGTACATATTAGAACGCGCTCTGCTTACTGCGCAGTAAGCAGCGACTGCGCGTGGGCTGCGCTGCGGTCTGGGCAACATTATAAGAATTTATTTGTTGAATAATTTAATTTCTAGACGTACAATCATAATGCAACTTTCAGAGCGTAATCATAGGGTGAAAATGTAAAAAAAAAGTCAAGTCTCTAGCTCTTATATCTTCTGAGATCGACGCGTTCATACATACGGACGGACGGTCGGACAGACAGACGGACAGGGCCAAGTCGACTCAGCTCGTCGCCCTGATCAAGAATATATATACTTTGTGGGGTCTGCCACGCCTCCTTCTGCCTGTTACGTACTTTTAACAAAACCATTATACCCTGATTTCCCATTTTCAATGGGTGCAGGGTATAACAAGTAAGAAAGCTCTAGTTGAGACTACTCGACTACGAGATCCCCTGAACCCTTGGAGTAATAGCTATTTCAATAATTTTTCGCGTCTTTCAGCTTACACAAGAAACACGCACACACACACACACACACGCACGCACGCACGCACACACAGGCATACATACACACACATACATACACACATACACACACACACACACACACATACACAAACAATTACATACATATACACACACAAGCATAAACACGCATGGGCGGCAGTGAGCGCTTACTATGAGAACTTAATTGCTTAATAACTTTTTTGTGGACGTACGATCTTCATGAAACTTTCAGATTATGATTATGACATGGATATGCATGTAATTGCCAAAGCACAAGTCTCTAGTATTTGAAATACGCTTTTTACAAAAGTGATGGTGAGGGGGTGAATTTAAGGGGGGGGTTAAATTTTAAGAAAAACCGAAATTGTATAAATTGCATATAAGCATACATTAAAAATTTGGAGACTAGCAATAAAGGTGTAGAAGATATAATTTTATAACTGGTTTTCGATAAGGGTTTTTATCGATAAAAAAAAGATCGGGATGAGTTATCGATTTTTAATTTAAAAATTTGAAGTCTCTAGCTCTTATATCTTCTGAAATCGACGCGTTCATACATACGGACAGACGGACAGACGGACGGACGGACAGACGGACAGACAGACGGACAGGGCCAAATCAACTCAGCTCGTCGCCCTGATCAAGAATATATATACCTTGTGGGGTCTGCCACGCCTCCTTCTGCCTATTACATACATTTCAACAAAACCATTATACCCTGATTTCCCATTGAAAATGGGTTCAGGGTATAAAAAGGCTCTCAAAGTAAGATACACCACCGACTGGGATGAAGGGATTTTGGTGTTGGATCTAGGCGGAGTTGAGCGAAATTCCGCATGCCTCTTTTAGAAAAGTGGTGGAAAGTATGCCTAGGCGCATTGCTAGTGTGATTAAAGCTAAGGATCTTTGGACAAAATATTAAAAATAGTAAATATTAAAAAAAAAAAGTTTAAAACGCGCAAAAGTGGACACAGCTCCTTTTATGTATCCATCTGAAAAACTTGAATTTAGAATCAAAAAGTGAAACAGATGATTTTACCATCTTATTTAAATATATCAAATGAATCTATTTCCAAAATTTCACACAGATTCATAAATTTTTTATGTTTTTACAGGCATTTTAACGTCGACTTGGCCAACATGTGCTCGCCACTGTATATAGAAAATACATACGTATGTATTTACATATATGTACATATGTATATGTGCATGCATTTTTATATACATATATATATATATCATATATCATATATCATTTTGTAATTGTTGTATCTATAGAGCAGATCGATCAATACTCAGTTAATTGTTCCGTTTTGAAGCTAATCGTAAATCCATACCATATGCACACATATTTCATATTTGAGTTTCAAGATTATGTACTTATATGTAGATACACTAAGTAAGCAAGAACTTCTATCTCCATTTACCGATATACCATATCGAATATAAGTCAATATAAATATACATACATATGTACATACATATATAAGACATACTCATCGACACTCTCATTGAGCCAAACATAATTAATTAAAATGAAAGAGTAAAGTGTAGAGTAATATTTCAAGTGAAATGTGTATAAAATTCGGTCTCTCAAGCGTCTGTTACATAAATTAAATATTTTACAATACTACTGTATTTACTACACTTAGCTTTCTAGCAAACCTTAAAAAAAAAGTTAATCCGATTAATAATAGACCATATACATACATATGCAATAATATTATAGCTAATAGGTAACAAATAAATATATTCTGAGGCATTCTTTAAATGGGAATCTCGATTGATTCTCATTTGTCATTCGAATGCGAAAGTGACTTGCAATTGTAGCTTTGAATACAAAGATTGGGAATACTTAGGTCTGTGGATACCCTCTCCCTACTCGATGTTGATCAACTTAAGGCTAAGTAAAAAAAAATACAAACAAACAAAACAGAAAATGGAATAAATTAGCATTAGACTATGATTAAACATTATTAGGATTAGAGGTAGGGTCCAGGATATTGGTATCCGCTGCTGCCCACACCCTGGACGTGTCCAACGTTGTAGCTGTCGGCACCGCTGTAAGTCTCTGAATTAATATTCTTATATCCTGTGCGACTTGGCCAATCCACCGGGCTGGGTCGACGGCGACGCGATTGAATTGGCGGAACATATGAACCTATGTCATCCTCGTATGCGTTCGGCTGCGCTGGCAGTTGAGGCGATGGCCTGAAACTGCTGGTGCTCCTAGAGTCGTAGGGGTATGTACTGTCCAGAGAGGACTCCTGAGGCACCTCCAGTGTGTGGGTAGGCGCACGAGCCGTCTTGGCGTGGGCAAAGCTAGGCGGCGAGTAGCTGTAGCCCTGCTCTAAGTCCAATGGTTCCTCAACCGGCGCTGGCTCTGCATATCCTCCGCCATGGTACAACAGGGAGGAAGTTGGCTTGTGGAGATGCTGGCGCGCAGGTGAGGCATAGTGATAGCCCACATCGTCGTCGTTGTCGTCCAGCTGATGTGAGTGCTTGTGATGATGAAGTGTATGATGCTGCTGAGGTCGGCTGTCGATCACGTGATATGTATCCACGGCATGGTCTGGTCGAGACTCGTATTCGTAGCTGCTGGGTCGATGCTTTTCCTCGATGATCGTATAGGTGTTCACCTTCTTCTTGGGCGGTGGCTTCTTGGCCGCATAGGCATCGCTGAGATGCTCAGCCAGTTCCTTGGCATGGTTCAAGTAGTCCGCATGCTCACTCATGTGCAGCGGCTTATCCAGATCCGACAGTATGACGCTTTCCAGCAAGGGACTTGTTTTGGTCTTTAAATGAGGGCGTCCGCGCGACCTTATATGCGGTGGCGCATGGTGGTGAAAGTGATGAATTACCTTGGGTGGCTGCTCCACATCGACACCGATGCTCGGCACCTGATCCTTAGGCACATGCACCTTAATGTGAACATACTCATTGCCAAAGCCAGACACTAGCGGCGTCAGCGATAATACTAACACCGTCAGCAGCAATGCTGGAATCCCATTTGACTCTGTTATGGAATTCATGAGACTGCGATTGAACATGTGTTTACGGTCAAATTTCGACTACTACGCTCTGATGCGATCTGTTCTGCTCTACTCTTCTGCTGTTACTTGTTGGCCGAGCGCATTGCCAAAATTGGTTTAAACCGTGGTCTTTCCATTGTCAACATTTATATACCATCCGCGACTGACCAGTTAAAACGGGAAAATTTCAAAATGAGCTTCGAAGTGGCGAATATCCGATGCGCTGTAATTTCTACATACATAAAAATATAAACAAAGTATCAATATAAATATTAAAATAAAGTAAATAAATAAATAAATAAAAAGTACGTATGAAATAAATAAAACTCTAAATTTTAAATCTACCATATTGTATTAACTTTGTTATCATATATTTCTAAATATACTCATTCAAAAATGTTGCACATATTTTACACATGTTAACTAAAATCCAATCCGAAGGTTTTTGTAGCCAGAGCTTTGAATAATTTAGTTGTAATTTTTTATTATATTTAACTTACAAATAAGTTAATTAAATAGATTTATCTATTAGACGTTAGAATCGATATAAAATTAAAACTAACTTGAAATTACACACTGGCAGCTGAGGCCTTTATCTTTACATATAATCATTTAATTAATACAAAATATTATATTTATATTAGTTTCTAAAAACAACCTTTATTTTACCTATAATATAATATCAATGAAACTCGTCCAAACCAGAAGTATATTCATGCTTTCATAAGATAGTGTATAAAGAAACAACTGTAAACTATCGATGTCATTACAAGCATCATGGTGCGGGGAGTTGGGTAGCCTCTTTTCGTAATCGGGCTGGCTGTCGCCGTCTCCCTCTAACTGTACCAAACTGTGCCTCTCTCTCTGCCTGTTTGGTCTTAGTCTCTGCCCTAAGATCTTGTTTACGCGCAGCTAGCGGTTGATTAAACAAATTTTATTTTCTTTTTTTTCCACATATTTCTTATTTTTACATATTCGTCGTTTGTTTTTAACTTTTGTTTTCATTATTATTGAAATGAAATGTGTTGCAGACGACCGCAGAAATACAGCCATGTATATAGATATGTATGTACTAGGGTTGTCGAAAATTTTTTAAATATCGTATCAATGTTTCGTATAATGTTTTGAAAATTTTCAAAATGACATTGATAATTAAAAAAAAAAAAAAATTATACATAAATATTTTCCGATTAAATTTTTTTTTGGTTTCAATTTTTTCCCCGCATTAATAAAATAATGTGTCCCAAAAAACAAGGATTATAGGAATAAGTATTTTTTATTAAAATGACGATGACCGCGTAACTCCAGTATTCGGTGGTGAAAGATTTCAAAAAAACGCGTTTCGTGATATGAGTATCTGAGATCGACGCGTTCATACATACGGACGGACGCAATTTTTATACCCTGAGCTCATTGAAAATGGGAAATCAGGGTATAATGGTTTTGGTAGAAGTATGTAACAGACAGAAGGAGGCGGGGCAGACCCCACAAAGTATATATATTCTTGATCAGTGTGACGAGCTGAGTCGATTTGGCCCTGCCCGTCTATCTGTCCGTCCGTCGATCTCAGAAAATATAAGAGCTAGAGACTTCAAATTTTTTTCTAGGTCCGTGTACAATACGCGCATATCGAGTTTTTCTCTAAATATCGATAACTACTCCCGATATTTTATTTTATTTAATTATATCTCCTACGCCTTTAAAACTAGAGCTTCCAAATTTTAAATATAGATTTATATGTATTTTATATAATTTCGATTTTTGTTTTTATTTATCCCTCACCCCTATATCAACCCTCTCACCCACATATTTGTAAAAGGCGTATTTCAAATACTAGAGACTTGTGCTTTGGCATATACACGCACATGTTATTTTAATGACCTGAAAGTTTCATGATCATATTACAACAACCAGAAAAATTATTAAACAATTCAATTTCCATAGTAAGCCCACACTGCTGCCAATGGGGGTTGTCGAGTGTGCTCGACTACGAGATCCCCTGAACCCTTCGAGCAATAGCAATTTCACACACACACACACACACACACACACACACACACACACACACACACACACACACATTGATTTCCCATTGAAAATGGGTTCAGGGTATAAAAATCACAAAATATATTAGATATTTAGCCAAAAAAAAGTCCCGATATAAATATTTTTTTAAATAAAGAAAAAATCGATATATTGATATTTTGTTATATTTTCGACAGCCCTAGTATGTACATATATACACATATTTTTCTGGCCGCGAGCATCAAAAACGGTTGTTGAACGAAAGTTCACGATGAAAGTGTTTTCGATATCGAAACCTTAGAAGCTCGAATGCCGACTTTTTATACCCTGAACCCATTGAAAATGGGAATGAATGGGTATAATGTTTTTGTTGAAATGTATGTAACAGGCAGAAGGAGGCATGACAGACCCCACAAAGTATATATATTCTTGATCCGTGTGACGAGCTGAGTCGAATTGGCCCTGTCCGTCTGTCTGTCCGACCGACCGTATGTATGAACGCGTCAATTTCAGAAGATAAAATAAGCTCTTTTTTAATGTCCGTATTTATAGCGCGGACATCGAGTTTTTCACCAAAAATCGATAACTCATTCCGTTATTTTTTATCGATAGAAAACCCTATCGAAAATCAGTTATAAAATTATATCTCCTACAACTTGAAAGCGAGAGTGTCCAAATTTTAAATGTTAATTTATATGCATTTTATACAATTTCGGTTTTTGGTAAAATTTACCCCCCACCCATATATTCACCCCCTCACCCCATGTTTGTAAAAGACGTATTTCAAATACTAGGGACTTGTGCTTTGGCAAATACATGCATATCTATGTTATATTCATAGTCTGAAAGTTTCATGAAGATAGTCCATCCAGAAGAAAAGTAATTATGCAATTAAGTTCCCATAGTAAGCCACCACTGCATCCAATGCGTGCTTATGCGTGCGTGCTTATGGCTGCGTGTGTGCGTGTGTGTGTGCAAGTGCGAATAATTATTGAAATATCAGTTGCTCGAAGGGTTCAGGAGATCTCGTAGTCGAGCAGCCTCTACTAGAGCTTTCTTACTTGTTTGATTATGTTGTGACATAAAACATTCATGATTGTAAAATACCCATATTGATTCTAATTAAACCGATTTATGAATATTATCATTTAAGTTATATAATTATACAATGTTGTTTCATTGTTGGGGTTCCTTACTTTTCTGATGTTTCACCCAACTTTTTATTAAAAGCAAACAATTAATTGTTATGTAAATGCTGAATACTGAGAAAGTTGTCATAAAATTTAAGGCTATCATCATCATCATCATTATCAATATTAGCATTATCATTATGCCATCTCATTTAACACTCTCTATACAAAAGTCTTTAAACAGTATATACACAGATATTTTGAATTTTGTTGCAATAAATGAGTATGCGTAAAATATGATGCTAATTAAGTCTACTAAAAAACTAACTTTTAATTAACTTTAAAGACTCCTAAGGGAAACACAATTTAGCGCATTATTTATGTTATATTGTGTATTATATGCCACAACCATTTATTTAAATTATTCACAATTATAAAATTAATTTTTTTTTTCTTCTAAAATTTTAATATAACAGATATCTTGTTTCTCTCGACATAACTATACACAAAAAATAAATTAAATAAATAAATAAAAATTATTTATATTTAATTTTTGGTTTTTAATTTTTTGCTCGTGAAACCCTTATAAAAACGATATATGTATGTACCTGTTACATATTTAAATTCAGATTTGGACATGCCTTGCATATACCTAATTTAAATATATGAAATCGATTATACCACTAACCAGAGAACACATAGATCGCACAAGTAGTGTAAAGTGTTTTGCACACTTTTCTTCGAGCGTTGCGTCCCACACAACTTCTTGCTCGGCTCCTCACTTTTTAGGTGCGGGCTATGAAAATCTAAATTAACTCAGTCTATATTTACATAACTACATATTAATTGTTTTATTTTTTGTGGTCAAATTTTTGCTTCGCCAGCCGATTTTTCTGAACCCGCAAGCAGTTCCTAGTAATTAGCTCTTTTTGGTCCACCCATCGGTTTTAATAACATCTGTTAATTGAACATAATTGATTTTTTGTTATTAAAGATACAAGCAAAATGATTTATAAATACCAGATAGAGCATATTTATATTTGTAGCTCACTGCGAAACACTTTCCTTCAAAATTACGTCCGGCACGGCTCAACAAAATCAGAAAAGTGACGCGTCGCGGCAGGTAAAACGAAAACAAAAATCATCACACATTTGCAATTATGCACTTGTATTTACACTCATTAACACTCTACACACAAAAGGAATAGGCATAGACAAAGAAACCAAACGAAAGAAGGCACGTATTCAGGGCAGCCAACTTAGCCTTTTACCGGCCAGATCTGGACTTTTTCAACTGGACTTTTTTTTATGGACATTCCAAAAAAATCAAGTCTCTAGCTCTTATATCTTCATAAATACGGACAGACAGACCGTCCTAATTCGAGTCAACTCGTCGCCCTGATCAAGAATACACATATATACTTTTATACCCTGATTTGACATTTTCAATGGGTTTAGGGTATGAAAACTGAAATGGCTATATTTCTGGCTATTCTTGAATTTGATCACTAACCAGAGAACACATAGACTAGACAACTAGTGGAAAGCTTTTTGCACGCTTTTTTTGAGGCTTTAGAACCCCTGACAGCTTTGGACTCGCTCGGCTCCTTACTTTTAGGCTCGAGCTACGAAAAAATACGAACGCACAATCATTTCGCTTCATGCGCTCGACCGAGATGGTCAACTTTTGAACAAAAGATCCCTCTATGCTCAATGTTCCCTTGCTCTCTCTCTCTCTCTCGATGCTCTCTGCTCTCTCGAATGTGTATATGTATGTATGCATGTGAGCACAAGCAGCAGCTCACGAAAATTGAAATTTCGTCGCAGCAAGAACCCATGCCTTCCCTTCTGTGTGAAGAGTATACCGAATTTTTCAAAGCGTTTGCCATGCGTTTTCGTTAGTATTTGTGGGAAGGGTATGAATGCGTTGGTGCGCATAATTAAATTTTTTCGCGACGAGCATGCACACACACACTTACAGTATGCTACATGTACTATGAGCATTTGTATGCCTGTGTGCAAAGCCCTTGCTGGCTATAGCAATTTGAAATCCTAGCATTTGCATTTGGTCGATCTTGTGAAGTGCTCACACTTACATAAATATGTTTGATTGTGTGTACGCAGGGGCCGCGATGCTCACAAATGATGGGGTTATCATTGTAGAAGCAGTTCAGTGCCTTTATATGTATGTGCGTGTGTCTATGTTTATAAGTATATGCATGCGACATGAGCATTGACGTGTGCCTACGACAACTTAGAATTGTGTGAACGATTTTGGGTTTGACCGGAAGAGGCGCGCTTATATTTAAGTAGATGATTAACTAAAGTAACAAGTGCACTTCCTATTACTTTTATAGGTATTTTTTAATTGCATGATTTTTATGACATCTAACAGATGCACTCTTTAAAATGGGTCCATTTAGCCAGTATATGTATGTATGTACATACATATGCTTCTTATTAAAAAGGTAAATTTCACCTGTATATGTGCAGGTACAAGGGATCGAAAATCGCATTCCAATTTGGCCACTGGGATTGATCAGGTACTACATTTCTAGCAAAAATCATTCTGATAGGCAAACCCACGATCATTGAAATAAAATCATCTACTTAAATATAAGCGCGCCTCTTCCGGTCAAACCCAAAATCGTTCACACAATTCTAAGTTGTCGTAGGCACACGTCAATGCTCATGTCGCATGCATATACTTATAAACATACACACACGCACATACATATAAAGGCACTGAACTGCTTCTACAATGATAACCCCATCATTTGTGAGCATCGCGGCCCCTGCGTACACACAATCAAACATATTTATGTAAGTGTGAGCACTTCACAAGATCGACCAAATGCAAATGCTAGGATTTCAAATTGCTATAGCCAGCAAGGGCTTTGCACACAGGCATACAAATGCTCATAGTACATGTAGCATACTGTAAGTGTGTGTGTGCATGCTCGTCGCGAAAAAATTTAATTATGCGCACCAACGCATTCATACCCTTCCCACAAATACTAACGAAAACGCATGGCAAACGCTTTGAAAAATTCGGTATACTCTTCACACAGAAGGGAAGGCATGGGTTCTTGCTGCGACGAAATTTCAATTTTCGTGAGCTGCTGCTTGTGCTCACATGCATACATACATATACACATTCGAGAGAGCAGAGAGCATCGAGAGAGAGAGAGAGAGCAAGGGAACATTGAGCATAGAGGGATCTTTTGTTCAAAAGTTGACCATCTCGGTCGAGCGCATGAAGCGAAATGATTGTGCGTTCGTATTTTTTCGTAGCTCGAGCCTAAAAGTAAGGAGCCGAGCGAGTCCAAAGCTGTCAGGGGTTCTAAAGCCTCAAAAAAAGCGTGCAAAAAGCTTTCCACTAGTTGTCTAGTCTATGTGTTCTCTGGTTAGTGATTTGATCTAGCCTTTTCTAGCAGGCTTGAAAGGTTAATTTAGCATTTTCTTGCCCGGAAAAGTTGGCAGCACTGCACGTATTCCATACAGAAAACGGTAAATACAAAACGAAATTCGGCGACTTCGTCACGACGCAACGAAAAACGAAAATCGTTTGTTCATTAGCGGGGAAAGGGCATACAAAAACGAAGTTGACAACAGCTTGATTCTTTCGAATGAGTAGTTGGTTTTATTTTGTACATTACAAATGCGCTGAAAAAAAATTTCATATGTAATGCATTATTTCGACCCACCTCATTCAGCTCATCGCGACAGGGATTAAGCATAGAGGGTAGTGATGGCACGATTAATCACTAATAGAAGGATCTTTTGTTCAATATTCGACCATCTCGGTCGAGCGCATGAAGCGAAATGATTGTGCTTTCGTATATTTTAGTAACCCAAACCTAAAAGTGAGGAGCCGAGCGAATACGAAGTTGTCTGGGGTGTTAACGCTCGAAAAAAAAAGTGTGCAAAACGCTTTACACTACGTGTCCGGTCTATGTGTTCTCTGGTTAGTGAAAGCGCTTTATACTTCTTGTCCGGTCTATGTGTTCTGTGGTTAACATAGCTCGCAAATAACTGTTAACACTTTTTCGTTGTCTGCAAAAAAGTGTCTTTCAGTGACACAGTCAAAAAAACTCAGACAGAAACTGTTTTTGTCGCGTCTGGCTTAGCTCTCTCGCGCTCTGAGGGAGATAGTTGTTTCTGTTTTCGTTTCCTCAAGTCAAACACTGATCGTTTGCTTGAGTTAAATGAAGTAACGGTAAGTTGCGTTTGTATGGGTAATCACGCGCGATTGCTGCGTTCTTTTTGTATGTATGTATGCGTGTATTTACATGCACACGAAGGCAAAAACATTTTCTGCTGAGTTTGTTAGTCAAAGTGTTTTTTGCTGAGAGGCTTTGTGTGAGGGAAAATCGTGTTAGTTTTACGCGACACTCATGTGAGAGCGTCACACGAATGAGTGATCGCATTGCGTCTGAGCGAAACAGATGCTAAAGAAAACAGAGAGTGACGCTCAGAGAGAGACGTGTCTGCACAATTTTTTTTGGTTATGATGCGAGAAAGAGAATAAACGAAAAAACGCTCAACTCTCATTTGCAAGCTCTGGTGGTTAATGCCACTATTAATTCGAACGGTGGTGTCGATACTAAGAAAACAATATCCATGTTTTCTAAAGTTCCAAGGTATCGATTATAAGGATACCGATCCGATATTTTCAGCTCTAATCAAGAATGCAATTGTTGTTTTTGTGCTCTGACATAACTTATGTGATGGCAAAAAAAAACCATTGTTCGATTATTTAATCATATGATTTATTTTAGGTGCTTTAAAGATTAATTGCAATTAATCGCGGAAAAATGGAAAAAATCGATTAATCAAATGATTTTTGAATGCGCTTAATATATTTTTTATGAACTCCTTTTAGAAGCAACAATAGCAACAAGAATATAAATGTTTATTTATTTAAAATTGAGTTAAGAAATAGTAGTTGTGAAAGGTGCTCTGTTGTTAACCTGTTCCTTTTTTCGGTTAATGTGGCACCCGCCTTGGGAAAGACGTTCCGCTGGTACCGAAGTGCCTATTAAGAAACAATACCAAGCTATAACATATAGCTTAGGGTATAAAGTACGCATCTCCTCCCAGGCATTGACGACATTACGCTTAAATTAAAAAACAGGAGCATTTAAAAAAAGACTGAGCTCGTCTTGAATTTGAAAATGGTTACCGTCTTTCTTACTGGGCCAGTGCCTTGTGGTGGGTCCATAAATCGAACTCAACTTCGCGAGTAGATGAGCCGTCACTAGTGCTTCCTAAACTTTCATTTATATCTGAAAGCTCCGCCATTTCTTGTCGTATGCGCTTCATAACTTAACTAATTGTTGGTGCCATAATTACGCTTCGCTTTCCAACTTTTGCGCGCCAATGTTGCTTATAGCGATGCGATTTTTTGAGCAAATCATCGATTGTCTCGATTATTCAAAACCCATTTTGCGATACAATTAAATCGTGAATTGAAACAAAATAATCGATTATTGTGTATCAAATGATTAATCGTGCCATCACTAGACATAAGACAAAATGAAATTGATAATTTTTGCATTCATGAATTAAATAATTAGTATCATGTTACCGTCGATAACAATATGTATAATGCGACGCTTATTCGTAGCGAAGAGATTGCCCCGCCTGTTGCTACATCGTTGCATACGCAACATGCCGGCACTGCCGGCTAAGGTTTTTGTTGACTATGAGAATCAATACGCACACAGCATTTTGTCGGATTCTCTGAAGCCGTATCAGATTGTGCGCCCCAGCGATTGCCTGAAAGTAGCTTCAACTGATACTCATTGTGACACGCCTCCGCGTGTGCTGCAACCGGTAAAGAATGCGCAACCGGCTGAGTTATATGCGGATTTTCAGTCGTTGGTCCAGTACTGTGCGCGCACGTGCGTTCAAATCAGCGAGGACCGTTTTGGTGACTTTATAACCTACTACTGCAAGGAACTACATAAGTTTAGCGATGAGCAGCTGTTGGGTACACTGCTTTGCCTACAACAGTTACCCACGCCAGCGTCCACAAAGGTAGCCAACTATATGGAGCTGTGGAACATACTGGACATCGAGTGCTGTCGCCGCATCGAGCGGTGGCCAACTGCCCAACTGTTGTTGGTGAGCGATGCCTGGTATCAGCTTGGACTTGCACGCATTGGCGAATTTGTGTGGCTCGCGTTGCGTAGGCTTGGCCGCAAGGTGCGCAAGATGCCACCGGAGCAACTGGTGCAGTCTATGTTTCTGTGCAATCTGCTGCGTCGGCCCGTGTTCGAGATGTTTGACTTTGAGGTAAATCTGGAGCAGTGCGTACAGCAAATGACGCTCAAGGAGCTGGGAGTCATGGCCATGGGCTTCTTCAAAACACAAACGCCCATACGCAGTCCCCAGCTGCTGCAACAGTTGTACACCCGCCTATTAGCACAGCTGGATAATGTGGAAGACATCACGCTAGTCTCTATGCTCAAGGTTTTGCGCTACAGCAGCAAATTGCCACAAGTATCTGCACTTAATCAGCTTTTAGTGGCGCTGCAGCCGCAAGTGGAGCGCGTCTCGCTGCTGACCTGCTTGCACATGGCACTGCTTGGCTGCGAGCTGCAGACCTGCAATGATAAGCTTGTGGAGCGCATTTTGCTTCGCTTCGAGCGCGAACTAGATGTGACCCGGCTTAAGGACTTGGAGCGCATTTGTCTGGTCATAGCACTGTTTAACATGAACACAGCTAGCGGCGTTGAATGCCGTCTAGTCGACAGCCTTCCAGAATTGCTGCGAGGCCGCATTGATGAGATCTTGCGTTATCCCCGATGCTACACCAACTGTCTACAGTTCCTCAGCATGCGAGGCGTTTACGATGTTGAGCAACTGGGCGTGGCGTTGGAGCCACGTTTCCTGCGCCACACCTATCGTAGTGGCCTGCCAGGCCGCGAATATTTTCACCTAGATAGCTTTGCCCAGCTATTAGGTTCTGAGTATGAAGGGCCACGACTCACAGAACGGCAACGTCAGCAAATGGGTAAGCTGTATACACAGTATATACCTGATCGCACAGATACTCGCTCGAAACTCAACAGCACAGATCGCATCCTCTTGGAGATTCGCGATGCTGTTGGCAGTCTGCTGCGGACCACAGTTAGTCTTAAGCACGTTCTGCCCCACTACGATCGCTGTGATGCCATCGTTGGCTATGATCGACAACAGCAGCGCCCTGTGTCATTGAATGCCAGTACGTGTCCTAAGGACTACAGTGGCACCTTGCTCACACGACAGCACTTGCTCGGCTCCAAGGAGGCTCCACACATAGAAACGTTGATAATTGTAGTCGCTGGCTGGAATAATGTTATACGTGAAAAGGAACGCTACACTGGACAGTTTGCCATGAAGCTAAAACAGCTACAGCAGCTGGGACACAAGCCAATCGTGGTAAGTGATTTCAAATGACTTCTGAATACTTACGAGATACAGTCACTCATTCCTTCTGATTGGACTGCTATCGCTAGTCTAGATCCATCAAATATGATGATTATATATTCTTTCCGATCATGGTGTTCAAAGTAAAGTTGGATAATTCATATGCAAGCATTTAGTTTGGCTTGATATTAAATTATTTTATTTTTGTACAAAAACATCGTATATAAAGTATCAAACTATTTTAAAAAACTCTTGTACCTCTTCACTCACAGATCCATTGGCACGAATGGCGGGAACTGGAAACATCAGCGGATCGGCAGGACTTCTTAAAAAGACGCCTATGCCAAGCGGCTAATATCTGATTGGCGACACGTTGAGTTGGCAGGTTGTGGACGCGCTCGATGATCGTGAATCGTTAATACTATTCTAATCATAGTATTAACAATAGAATTAGTTAATACTAATAATAATAGTAACAAAAAAGGCAACAACTCTGTAGTGGATAGATTTATAATAGAAATCCAGAAACATGGGCTAATTTATAATAACCGCCCGCGGTCACGCCCACCCCTGTCACGATTGCTACAAGTTACTGTGATAATGTCCCATGTAAAGCCTTTTTAGTATATTCGTATACAACGAACAGGGTGGCCGTAGCCGGAATGGTTCGCAGAACAGATGGCAACAGTCCACGATATAATGCCAATACGCCCTCGCGCTTGACAATATCTGCACCGACAGTAAACATGCCTTCATTTAGGTTTTTTACCTGTATACGACTTTTAATGACGTCAGCTGGGAATGTTGATGTCCATAAACAAACACCGCCAGTGGCCCCAGCGATCATTGTACGAACTGGACCAATTTCATCCTTTGTCTGATCCTTACTGTCAATTGTAAATTTAAACATATCAATTTAAACATATCTAATCTACAAATCATCAAAGATTATCAAGTTTGTACTCACCTACGCAACAGCTCGCGTGTACCCTCATAGCTACCAAAGAAGAAGAAATATCCAGGCATTTCGCGAACAAATGTAGAGCCCAAGCCTCGATAAAAGCCGCGTATGCCTGCAAAAAGTGAGAGAGAATGAGCATTACACAGATTAAAAGAGATTAGACTTAAAGAGCGTGATAGCATGCCCATGAGCTGACCTAACCATGTTCGGAAAATAACAGTCGATGGCTCGCACGTGAGGACAGTGGTTATTAATAGACTTATTATATAGCCCCCATGTGGAGTAACCCTGGTCGTGACTTTCGTTATCTATGTACATATAACTGCCAGCGTGCCAGGCGCGAATGAGAATGCATACGCATTCAAATCACGATTTTGAAAGTTGAATCTAGACTGGGAATTTGCAAATCCGTCAATATACTAGCCTCATTCTGTCAAATAAATTTCCATTCGACTGATGATAAGCGATATTTTTGTATGTACATACATACATACATACATATGAAGAACTGCAGATATTTATTAATTGTCGGATATTTAGCTTATCCACCAAGATTCAAATCGTCAATGTATGTCCGACATTTATTTATACATCTGTACCTACATACATGCATATCTATGTATGTATATTAATGAATGAAACTAGGGAATGCTATGGTGAAAATCTAACGAGCAGATTAAATATATAAATATATGTATGTATGTATGTATGTATATACATATCAAGAATTTTTTATTATGTACATGTACATATGTATGTATGTTTTAGGATATGTATCATTCTTATTTCCTATATTTTAAAAACCAAATCAATAAATACGTATATACACACATACAAAAAAAATCATTCAGTACATTAATGGATACTTATGTTATGTATAATATATATACATATAAAGGTAGGTATGTACATGTATGTATGTAGTAATAATCAACAAACATCAACATGAACGAAGCGGTTGAGACAATTGTTGCACAGCAAGCGAATAGAAACTACGCGATGGGAAATAATTGAAACAGTCTGGCAACGCCAAACGTGCATAAGTAAACAAACCTGCAGCTGATTTTCTGTTTTTTTTTTCTCGACAGCGTGTCTTTAGCACTTGCGATTGAATTTAAATATATACATACATATGTACATACCTACATATATTACGAAGAAACAGAGAGTAAAAGCACCGAGATATGTGCTTAATCTAATCAACATTGTTGAAAAATAATCAAATAAGTTATTAGCACTCACCTTCGGTCCGCCAGATGTAACGTGTTAAAGTCCATGGTGTACGAATGTCTGCCGTGGGTTCCACGAAGTGCTTCATTTCGCGTAGCGCCTGCAACTTGCACTTGATCAGTTCAGTGGGGCAGAGGGTGAGCGTAGAGAAGCAAGCGGCCAGTGAACCGGCGCATGCATTTTCCGTAGTCGTCAATTCGCTTGTCAATTCCTTATCCACGACGTAGGTGACGAACTTCTGGCAGCCACCATAGGCAGCAAAGAGCACCGAGTTTTCTGCCACATTCGCAAATACCGCCGGCAATGAGCCGGCATACAGACCCCGCATGACCCCATCTTTTCGGTAGGTGCTGAAAAAGCAATCCAGCATGCCCTTGTAAGCCTCTGGAAATGTTTGTAGCTTTACTTTGACAGTGTCTAATGGCTGCGAGACATAGACCTGAGCAGCGCCACCTAAAAGAGTTCCATGTAACAAACATTACAAATAAGCACATGTAAAATTGCCGCGAGCTCTGAGAACTCACCCAATGAGCCGGCCAAAAAGTCTATCAAACCCCCGACGAAATTGGTGTTGTTACCGGTCGTGCCCCCATGCATGTCTAAATGTAAAATGAATCTCAAAATTTTGCCGACTATCAGCAAGAGTCTATCCCGAAGGGCGGTAGGCGCATTCCGAAGATTGAGCTTACGAAAGAACCAACCGCGCTCTTCGGCTTTTACTCTCTTTCTCTCTTCCTCTTGCACAGTTTTTTCATAAGCCTCGGCAATTTGCTCTGGCGTCATTATCAGCATGTCGCTGCCTACTCTCGTGCTGCCAATATCGGGTGGCGATGTCGCCGACTGCGTTGCTTCAGCAGCGGAAAGCGAAACTTTGTCTGTGTCGCTGCCGCTACTTTTAGTTGTCACTGTCGCTACTGAAGGGTTCGCTGTCGCCGCCGTCGCATCTGCCCCATTTTCATTGCTATTGTGCTCTTTTTGCGGCGTCGACGTCGCTACTACAATCTCCAACGGGGTCGGCGTCATATGTATTTGCTTGGTGTGGTCTCAAAAATTGTCTATTTGCTACTTCATTCATTGGATAGCAATTCCGTCATGATAGTGCTCTTGCCTGTGTTCTCTCGCTGTAGTTCTTTCTCTCTCGCTCCGCCTCTCTTTCTGTCTCTCTGTCTCTCTCGTTTACTCTTTCTCTCTCTTTATCTTAAAAATGCCGTTCGGTTGCAGTTTAGCGCTGTTTGATATCGCAATCGTTTTTGACTCCAGCTTTTATCGTTGTCGTTTGAATGCGCTGTTTGCTTGCTGAAATTGTCTCGTATGGTTTTGTAAATTCGCGATGTTGCCTCTCTATTAACTGTGCACTGCATATGGAAACAAAACTTGTGCATTTTGTTCAACAAAATTTAGAAGGAAATGCCAAAGTAATAAACATCATATCAATACAAACATATACGAATTTATAAATATATAAATACATACATATTTTATATACACATTTATGTATACTTACATATAAACATATACTAATAATTTTAATGGAATTTGAATAAATTTTCAATGATTTCACTATATCAAAATTAAAAAATTTAAGTTGAATATAAAAGTTTCCCTTGAATTTGAAAGTAACAACAAAATAAATGTATATAGTTCTCGTAGTTTATCGAATGAAATATTTTCCATCAATTGTTAACTGGACTATTGTGTTACCTGAAGTCCTTAATAGTTAATAATTTTCTCCACTTTGTGAAAAGTACCATTTTGTATTATGGATAATTTATCAGATATATCAGTCAATCAGTAATATAGAGTTATCTGGAAAAAATGGTACGATTTCTTGATGTTTAAAAGCGAAAGAAAGAAAAGAAGGGTGGTAGACCATCTATTTTCGATAAATTGAAACCAAATTTAAATCGAATTATTCAAATCGTTTTCATTCAAATATTTTCATTTTTGTTAATAATCGATAATTTATTTACTGCACATGTAAATATCAATTTTTTTATCAGCATTTTCAAATTGCTTATCTGCAAATTAGCAGATCAGCTATACATATATGTTAAACACACGCACTCATATATAATACATACATATGTTTATATATTATAGCGCACACTATTATTATCATATATATATATATATATATATATATATATATATATATATATATTATACTTTTTTTTTTAACTTTAACTTTAAATAATTTACATGAAATTATATGAATTAATTCATTTACTGCATTCGAAATTCCAAATAAGTTGAAATTAAAATGATTATATTTATGTAATAAGTAGCTTGAGCCTATGTTCCTGATCTGTCAAACTGGTACGTATATATCTATATATGTATTATTTTATTATTTATGTTAGTAATAATAATTATAAAGTGTTTTAGCTAATAATATAACTTATGGTATTCATTATTAATTACATATTCCATTTCCGTTTAATTTCTTCGCTGAGTTTGTTCTTGGGGTCTGGTTAGTGTTTGGTGCCAAGAAAGTTTCTTAATTTATGTCTTAATTTGTATATTTATTTTTTTTATTGTTGAATTGCCCCTTCACTGAATTTTTGCTCAACTCTTTGTACTCGTTTATAATTTTTTTCATGGTGTAAAAATAGCAATGCAGGTTTTGTTTTTATATAATTTCTATTTTATACAAACTCAGCGGCAAATCGTTAAAAACTATAATTTGTTTAATTAGCATTTATTAGTTATTGACTTAATTTTTTGTTTAATATACAACTATACATATTGTTATTGTTAGAAAATAATATATATTCTATAAATATTTAAATATATATAGAGTTCCAGTTTTTGCAAAAAAAAAAAAAAAAAAAAAAAATGTACACTTAAACATATTGGCACACTTTATGGTTCTTTTTTATTCATTTCTATTTCTTCATAATTTTATTTTTGTTAATTAAATAAGTTTCACATATAATTTAAATGGACGTTAGGAAAACTGAACATAATGCGACATCTTGTAATTGGTTTTCTCGTACAGCTTATAATGAATTATTTGTGATTTGTTAGTAGAAATAGATGCGAATAAAACAGAGGAACCCAGATTTGTTACGTTAGAAACATATATTTACATACATATAGTGCATATATGAATGTATATGTTTGCGTTTCAAATTGATCTATATAATCAAAGATTCGTGGATACTAAACACATGTATACATAGGTCGAAGCCAGACGATAACTAATGGAAAAAAGAATATATATATGTTTGTATGTATGTATATAAATACTTTAATTGCACGTAGTCCCGTTTAACTATTAATAGGTCTCCGCATATACATATACATATAATACTTAGTTCCTAGCATATCGTCTTTTAGCAGTAAATTATTCAAAGAATCGTATATTTAGCGTTTATGTAATTAAAGTAAAAACAAATATGTATATATAGTTTGCGATACAATATATATGTATGTGTATATAAACTGAGCTGGATTGACTATAACTGCTTTTTGGGATCGATTGCACGTTTCGTTTTCATTCTTATTGGACTTTGCGAATGGTGATCGATAGATCAAGGATGCCCATTAGTAGTAGGCGGGAAATGGATGATAGTTAGACGGATTGGAAGCATGATGATTTGCCGAAGGCAGCACCGGCGGCGGCCGTACGCCCGGGTGATAGTTGCTGGATGCCACCTGATGATAGGCTCCAAAGCTCCTAGCCATGTGTCGGTTCTGGGCAGCTGCCGCCGCCGATTCGCCAAGGAGACGTGATTGATCTGCGGTGCCCAGCAATCGATTGTTTTGCTCCATTAGCAGGTGGGCAGTGGGATCAACGAGAAGCCGGTGCTGATCCGCAGCCGCATTCGAGGCGGCCAATATGCGATGTTGTTCGACTGTCGAGAGCAGTCGATGATGCTCTAGGCTCTCACGACTCTGGTGCTGCATCTGTGAGGAGAGAAACGAACGATTGTTTCCCACCGCCATGTTGGCTGAATTAGGTGTCAGGTCCAGCGAGGCCATGCGCAGCATATCGTGATGCGGATGGTTGTAGGGCAGCTGCGGCGGCGACGACACCACATAGTTAGCGGTGCGACTAAGATCCACCGATGTGGTCTGATCGTGCTCTTGCTCGCCCAGCTGTTCGCTGAGCATGTTGTGCATCGTCGCCGATTGATGCTGCTGCATGGCCAGCTGACTACTGTGACCACTGTGACTACCATGCTCCTGCTGATGCACCACCGATGCCGGTGCCTGCTGCTGCGCCTGTGCTTGCTGGTTCTGCTCGCGATCTGAGAGTATGTCGTAGATGTGATGATGGTACCGGCTGCTCGGCAGCTGGAAGTTATGATGATAGTTGCTCGTCGCATTCGACCGTGAGCTCATGTCCAGCCCTTGAAGATCCGACATGTCGTTCGCAGCGCTGGCAGCAGCAGCAGCAGCAGCAGCAGCACTTGCCGCATTGCTATTGCTGCTCTGGCGATACTCGGCCGGTGAGTCCAGGTCTTGGCTGTTGTACTTCAAATTGCTGGCCATACTCTCATATTTGGAGTACATGAGATCGATCTGTGATTGCGGGAACTTCATGCGCATATCCTGCCCAGCGCTACACGGCAAGTGAGATCAGATTAGTAGGAGCATCTATTGGATCACTCGGATCACTGGACTTACCTGTTCTGTGGCATAATGCTGTTCTCTTCGTCGCTGGACATTTGGTTGTGTCGCGAGATATTGTGGCGTCGCTCCTGCTGCTCGTGCTCCTGAACGGCGCGTTTGTGACGCATCATGTCGCCGTTGAAGTTGTAGCGCGGAATGCTTGGCGAGGAGGCTGGCGAGATGAGCTCGTGCTCCGGATATGTGCTGCCCACGCTGGAAGCGTTGCGTCGCTGTGGTTGCAGCGCTGCCGGCAGAGGTGATGCGGATAAATTGTTGCCCGTCGTTGGAGCACCACCACCTCCGCTGGAGCTGCCCGCAGGCGTGCTGTTAGAGCCGGGTCCGCCGGCACCATTGCCTGCACCAAACATGCCTCCATAGTCGCGACCCGGCGATATGGGCGGCGGCGAGGGCGGTGTCCGGTGGTGCGACGAAGAGAAACCATCAGAATCCGGATGGTGGGGACGCGGCGTGCTGCCGGCATCCACATCTACATCGTTCTGGTTTTGATTGCTCTGCGGATTGGTGGGCGTTGAGGCGTTCGGCGAAATATTGCATGCTCCCTGGAACATAGGCAATGGCGGTATCTGCATGGGAAAGCTGCCCAGGTTCTTCATCATCTTCAATTCGTTCTCTAAGTTGTCCATGGTGGTGCCAATGCCAGCACCATTCGCTCCACTTCCACCACCACCACCGCCGCCGCTACCAAAGCGTTGCGCCTCCGTATCTACATGCGCGCTCATCGGACTATCGCTATTTATGTGGTTCTCGGTGGGTACCTGGTCAAGTACAAAAACCATGTTATCAATTGGACCAAGCATAATTTGGAAAGCATCCTGGATAACTATAACGATTAGATTGATATATAGCAGAGTGACAAAGCCCTTTCCATGTACCACTAGTTGACAATCGAAATCTCGCCTCTTAGTCTGAAAATCCTGATTCTGGTAGTACTGAAAACATATCTCACAAAGTGAGAGGGAGTGGTTTGCGATTAACAAAGGATATATGGGAAAATGTACACAAACATAAGTATCTAGGATGACGAGTATTTCTGTATACTCATTGGGGGCATGGCAATTCCCCTTACGAAATATACATACATATGTGTGCAAATCTACTGTTATTGTTGGCTCCTTCTATAGATTGACTATAGATTATAAAGTCAGTCAGTCAATATAATTCAATATATCAATACATTGCCTGCTGCAGATATACTACAAGGAAAGCCTAGGCTAGTTTCTAGTCATCTAAATTGTCACTCATTTATACGTAAGCTGCGCCTCTACAAAAGGCAAAACATTGAGTGGCTTCATTTGCGGCCAAACGCACCTTAAGATCACTGCTCTCGCTGTCAATCATGTTGCCAACGGAGTTGAGGGCTGCCTCCACTAGCATGCTGGCAGAGGAGGAGTTGGTACTGACGCCAACGCCGACGCCGACGCCAGTGCCAGCGCCGCTCAGTCTTGCGTTGGCATTGTTGTAGAAGGAGCTCATGAATGACTGCGAATGACTGAGCGAGTTCATTTGCATTTGCGGCGGCTCCACGCTGCTGGGCGCAGTGGGCGCGCCAGTCGGTGTATGATTGCCAGCAGCTGCACCACCAATACCACCATTACCGCCACCGCCACCACCGCCGCTGCCACCGCCACCGCCACTGCTTGTACCACCACCAGCGCCTGCTGCTCCACCATTGGCTGCCGCACTGTGGTGGTACTGGGACATGGCTGCGGCAGCAGCTGCCGCAGCAGCAGCCGCATTATTATTGGACTCGACGACATCCAGAAAGGAGCTGTTCTCGTCTTCCTCGCGGCTGTGAGCGCTATGCTGATGCTGATGCTGGTGACTAACATGGCTGGCCGAAGCGCTGCTCATGAGCCGCGCCAAGAAGTCACGGTTCTGCCCCAGCAGTTTGCTATGCTCTTCCACGGCGCTGGGGGGCACAGCAAACCCAAGATCCTGGCCAGCGCCGGCGCCGCCCGATAGCTGACCACAGCCAGCAACACCACCACCACCAGCCCCACTGCTGACAGTGGCATCGTTGGCCACATCGCCGCTGTCGCTCAGATGGTGATCGTCGGCGCCGATCCACTTCTTGCTGCCCTTGCTGACGACCAGATTCTGGCCAAGAGCCGCATTCATGGCGGCGCCGTGGCGATAGCCCGTGTCGTTGTGCGGCTGCTGTGACGATTGCTGTGTGTGCTGGTGAGCATGCGTGTGACCGTGGTGATGCGAGTGGTGTTGCTGCTGGTGCTGCTGCTGTTGCTGTTGTTGGTGATGCAAGTGATGCGCTGTGGTATCCTCGTCATCCTCATCATCGTCATCGTCCTCATCCAGGCCCACGCCTACTCCTACGCCCACGCCGCTCATGTGGCCCATCATGTGGCCAAGCTTGGCGGGATCCTCGCCGGCGCCGGCCATGGCGGAAACGGCGGCTGCCGCAGCAACCACTTGCTGCACTTGCTGCTGGGCACTCAGACGCTGCGCGGTGGTGGTCAGGAACGATTCGACCAGGCTAAGCTGAGCGTTTTGCTTGCGGCGCACCTGCTCCAGACGTACGCTCTCCTCCTCCACGTCGGCGTTGTGCAGCTGCTGTTGCTGCTGCTGGTGATGCGCGGCCGCCTGCTGCTGTTGTTGTTGCTGCTGCTGCTGCTGATGGGCGTGCGTGTGCGCATGAGCGTGTGCGTGGCTATGGGCATGATAGTGGGGTTGTTGCTGTTGGTGCTGCTGCTGGTGTTCCTGGTGATGTGACAAATGCGAGGGCGACTGATCCAAATGGCCGCCATGCAACTGTTGCTGCTGCTGTTGGTGGCATTGCTGTGCGTGTTGCTGGTGCTGCAGCTGTTGCTGTTGCTGTTGGTGCTGTTGCTGCTGTTGTTGTTGTTGTTGTTGTTGTTGTTGCTGCTGTTGTTGTTGCTGCTGCTGTTGGTGCTGCTGCTGGACGACAAGCGCCGAGGCCGGATCCTTCTTTCTCTTACGCTTACGGCTGGTGCCAGTCGTGGCACCTCCCACCAGGGCCGCCTGCTGCACCGAGGGCACTTTCTCGGCAAATATGCTAGAGATTTTGGAGCTGAGCAGCGACAGATTTGGTTCGTTACGGCACAAGTCCTTTATCGATTTGCCGCTCTTCTTGATGGCCTCAAATATGTTGTCATCACTATATTCCGTGTCACTCTGCATGGAGCTGCTGAGCATTGAGTTTTGGTTCTGATCCTCTAGGCTCTTGCGTCGCCGGCGCGGTGCTTGCTCTGTGAAGGAGACGGCAGCGTTAGGGCGTGGCGCTTGTGGTGCACCCAACAACGCCTGCCCCACTGGCTTACCCAAAAAGTCGACCTTCATGCCGCCCGAATAGGCATCGAAAGTATAGGCCACACTCCGCTCTATCTTCGGCATCTGCTCTTGCGTATAGTTGTGCACCTTCTTGTAATGGAACTGCAGGCACTGCTTTGTGGTGAAGGCGGCATTGCACTCTGGTTCCGCGCACCTGCAAATGACAGTCGTCGATCAATATCATTTAATATGTGCTTGTTCAGGCAACTTTGGCTATATATTATCAAAATACATAGGCTAAAGCAAGGCAGGTCAGACAGGGCCCGCCATTCGAGGCGAATCATTCATAAGCTAAAAGTACTAGTCGGGACTGACAATTATGCAATTAAAATGCGCATTCGATTATTATATTTATAGAATAGAATTAGGAAAAAAGGACACGTATGTGGAAAGATGCTAGCGATTTGCGCTGCTTGCCACGTGATTGAAACACGTATTCATTAACGACATCTGGTGTACTTGGACACAGCTGTAAAGCTCTATCAGAAATACTGAGATAACAAAAGCTTTTAAGGATCTCGGACCGATTTACATCCGACATATATCCGCCATAGTTTTTGGTCTTGGTCGGTCAGCCTGAGTATATCTATCAAATTTGATGTTTCTTGCATCAATACTGTCTAAAATATTACAGAATTTGAAAAAACCCCTATATTTCCAGGTCCGATTTGCCACGCTCCTAGTGGGCGTAGATATAAAAAGTTTTATCTTTATAGATTATAACAATAGCTTACGTGCAAAATTTCACCGTTCTAGCTTTAAAGCTCTAGGAGATACAGTTTTATCCGATTCGCCACGAACCCAATGGGCGTAGATATATCCGTCATAGCTTGTAATCTTGCGTGGTCAACCCGAGTCTACATTCCAAATTGCAGCTCTCTAGCTCTTCAACTAATATGATTTCTGGCATATCGGAAAATGCATTATTCGATTTGCACCGCCCCTAGTGGGCGGATCCGGAAAATTTTAACATTTTATATATCGGAGATATACACGAGTATGTGTTCCTAATTTCAAGTCTCTAGCTTCAATAGCGCAGAAATAATCTGCGTTAGCAAGACGAACATTGCATAAAACCAATATACTCGTTTCACTTTCGTGAATCAGTATAAAAAGGATGGGAAAACTTGAAGAATCTTCAAAGACTATGCTTAATTGGCCCTCAAGAGACGGAAACTTAGAGAAATAATGGAAGAAATGGATAATATACGTCTCACTATATACTATAAATATTTTTAGTGATGTCGATAATCGGCTTACTCACTTGAAAGGCCGCACGCCCGAGTGTGTGAGCATGTGTATCTTCAGGTTGCTGCGATTCTGGAAGAGTTTCTGGCAGCGCGGACAACTGACCACGGTCGAGTTGCGGCTGTGCACCTCCTTCGAATGGCGCTGCAGTGCCGCACGCGATCCTAGAAGTTTTGAACATAATTTACACTGAAAATCTCGTAAAACTTCAGCCATATCTAAAATGAAATTGTATGAAGAAAATGAAATTTTCGGATTGCGGTGATTTTGAAAGAAAATTAGTGAGTACAGAAATAGAATTTATAGGCAAATCGACAAACCCAACTAAAAAAAACACAAATCACAAAACGTAAGCCATTTACATAAATACACAGAAAGCATAAGTCACTAGATTGAACGAACCAAATAGCGTATAAGTGTATCAGTGGATGGTCCAGTCACTGCTAGAAACTCAAGATCAAAGACCAAATATCAAACACAAAGCAAATCATTCACTAAAAGCGATTATACAATGATGCGGTTTACGAATGCTGCGAATGTTGTTCTATATTAGTGCTTCTATGTGTCTAATTATGAGTTCCTAGATGGTTGATAGATACTTAAGGGGGCTATCCACAGACAAATTTGTTACACGAACATGTGTTCGTCAAATATTCGAATATGGATAGAAGTGTTCGTACGAAAATTTTGTTCGCCGTTTCTGTTCGCATAGAAATAGAAATGTTTCTATCTTACGGGTGTTAGTGCGAACGTGTTCGACAATGGATTCGAGTGTTCGCACGAACATCATTTCTAGGAATATTTCGGACAGTCAACATAGGCCAAAATAAACCGAAAATTTCTAGATTGTTTTTATAATGTCTTTGTGGCAAAATAAAAGCCAAAGCTATCAAAATAAAAAGTTGCGCAACAATTCATGGGACAAATTATAATTAAAATATAAAGTTGTCGAAGAAAACGCCACAATTAATGTCGTCAAAGCAAAAAAAAAAAAAAAAAAAATTGTCTGCACGCTGCAAACAGGCGTCAGGTGCTTTCCTTTATTTTAAATAAATATTCATTGCCATTAAGCTCTATTTTGTTTTCTTCCGCTGGCTTATTCACAGTCCGAAATTTGTTTTAAAATAATGTTCGCGATCATGTTCGTGTAACAAATTCGTCTGTGGATAGCCCCCTTTAAAGTAAATTGCCGTATATTTTGATATAATACTAAGACTGTCAAAAATTCATTCTTATGTAGCTGCTAAGCAGTTTGGTTGCTTTATGACAACCTTAAATACTTGAAGGAGCTTAAACCAACCTACTTCTTTGAAATGTGCTATATCGAAATCGTTATTGTGATCTTCCGTAAAAGTTCTTTACACATATAAGTATATATATAATAAAAATCTGATATATGCAATAATTATTTGATTATAATAATAATAGGGTTCCATTGTTTGACACATTACGCAACTCCTCCAAATGTAAAGTTGAATCTATTAAACTATTTGATAATAATCTAGAAGGATCATGTACATAATATGATCTCTGTGATGTATGTCAACTAAAGAGGGTAAACCAAATAAACCAAGCTTATATAAAAAATGTTTCGTCCAATTCGGCATCCAACTGTGTGTTTAAGTTATGACTGATGTTGGTGAGTGTCTGTGCGCTTTAATGGTTAGTTAATTGTTACGGCTAAGCAGGTTGCGTTATTTTACGATATTAGTACATACTATACGATATTTGTTAATATAAGGGCTTATTTATAATAGGAGTGTGGAGAAGCGGCACAAAAAAGTTGGGGTTGGCGTATTTGTTTATAATACGAGCTTACGATATACGATATACGATAGACTTGCTTACGTTTACGATATACAGACATCTACGCAAGTATTTATGATCTATGTTTATTGACTAGAGGTGGGGTTGCGGAAATGGGATTGGGATTGGAGTTGGGGCTGGGATTGGCATTGGGGCTGGGTCTGAGACTGGCATTGGCGGAGTAGCATGCCCGACTTACCACTGTGGACACGCTTAATATGCGCCTTGAGCTTCTGCGGCTGGCAGAATTTCCGACCACAGAAATCACAAACGGGCCGCGAACGATTTGGATTCGATGCACAGCCATAGGTGCGATGCATCTCCAGATAGTTGAGCCGTAGAAAGAATTTGTTGCAGAACTGACACTGGTATGCCCCCTTGCCATCGTGCTTTTCGGCCGCATGCTTCATAATGTTGTCCTTGCCGAGCACCGCCTCGCCGCACACCTTGCAGTGGTACTTCCTTATTGTGAGGCTCATCGATGGATCGTGAAAAACTGAGCAGTGCGTACGGTAGTACAGTGGGTGCTCAAACTTCAAGTTGCAGCCGCCGCAGTCTGTTTTTTAGGAAGAGGATAAAATGGAGAAGTTTATGAGTTGAATGTTAGTCAAAACACTTGATAATAGTTCCAACTGTCATTAGCTCGAACAATGTGTGGCTGCGACGGAATAGAAATTACTAATTAGCTGTGAAGTCGAAGCAAACTTTCCACACTGTTGATAGCTTGCGAACAAAAAGCAAAAGGAGAAGAAATTGTATGATGGTCGGCTGAATGAGAGGCTTACTTGTCTTCTCGGTGTGTTTCTTGCGCCACATAGTGTTGCAGTCGTCACTCCAGTAGAGCAGCTCCATGCCATTGCGTAAATCCCGACAGCTCACAAAGTACGCCTGTCGGTCGATGGACACGAGGTTCACGTTGCGCTCCTCGTAGCTGGGCGCTGGGCGGATGAAGCGTAGCCAGTTGGAGGCATTGGGGTTATCGCAGCAGAGAAGATACGATTTGTCAGCACCGGCCTCGCACATCTCGAATATCCATTTCATGTCGCTGCCCTCACGCACCTCGCCGGTCTGCACCGGCTGTCCGATGAGCGGCCCCAGCTTCGTGTAGGCTCGGACCTCGGTGCGGGCGAAGACGCCGGTGACATTCGGCTCGACGTTGTGAAGCTCGAACTCGGCGGGCACCGAAGCCTCGGCGAATGTTATCAGTGGCTTGGTCTCTAGCTCGGACAGCTGCGATGATTCGTCCATGTCCATGTCCTCCATATCATCCTCGTCGTCAACGTGGCGCGGTCTGCCCACCTTCGCCTGCCGCTGGGCATCCGCCTTCAGTTTGGCTAGCGCCTCCAGATTGCGGCGTTCAATCCACTCGGCCAGGTCCACTGCGTCCGTCACATTGCCACAGGCATTGCGCAGCGGGCACAGCTTGTGATCATGCGAGATGGAGCACTCGCGGCACGACTGCTGCGATCTGAACGCAATGTCATGCTCATCCTCCTCTTCCACAAAATTCTGCTCCAGTTTCATCTCACGCGCTAGCGCCTCCTCATCCAGCTCCTCGTCGTCCTCCTCATCGTCATCGCCCGGACCAGCAGCCGAATCGTCTTCGGGCTCGTCATAGCTATTCGGTGGCATCATAGCCGGTGCCGCAGCAGCTGCTGCTTTGGCGGACTGGGACTTCTTGCTGCTGTTTTGGCTCTTGGAGCGCACATGAAAGCTTCCTAACTGGCCGTTGCTGGCGCTGCTGGCATCAACCGTATCCGCGTTGGGCAGCATCGTCGGTGCTACTGTGGTCGGATGAGCAGCGGCTGCTGCTGCTGCGGCGGCTGCTGCCGCTGCTAGCTGCTGCTGTTGCTGCTGCTGGTGCTGAAGTTCCTCCTCCTCGTCCTCATCCTCGTCACTGCGTTGTGCTGCCGCAGCAGCAGCCGCTGCTGCCGCTGCAGCTTTTTTGAGGCAAAGTGCACTTGGTAGCGGCTCCTTGCTGCATGCTTCCAGCTCGCTCTTAATCTTCTCTGCGATGCGGCAGTCTAGCACCTCCGGCAGCGCCGATGAGGCGGCCGCTACTGCGGCGGCTGCCGCGGCTGCTGCTGCGCCTGCTTTGAGGGCAGCTGCTGCTGCCTTCACTTCCTGCTTCTTCGTCTTAGAGGTGCTGCCGAAGCTGTTGTTGTTATTGTTCTTGTTGTAACCAGCTGCAGGACCAGCTTTACCCTTAGCGCCGGCATAGCCATTAAGTGCATCGGTTGTGAAATGGACCCGCTTCTTGTAGCGCTTGCGTTGTGGCGGCGTCGGCGTGGCCATAGCAGCAGACATGCTAGCAGCTGACTCCAAGCTGCCATTGCCATTCTCTGGCGGTGTCGCAAAGTCCTTAACGCTCAGATTCGGCTCTAGCTTGAAGTTGCCATCGAATCCTTTGGTGGGCGTGTTCGCCGGTGACGGAGGTGGCAAACTGGAAAAGCAGACAAAAAAAAGTTAGTTTAAGGATTTGTTAAGGAGTGACGACTGATGAGTGATGTGCAGGTGAATATGGGTCGACAAAATCCGGAATTTTCTACGTATAGCGCCACGTTAATGCCTGCACCTCCAACCACATTTCTAACGCCCACCAGCAACATCCAAATTTCGCTCCTACTGCGTTTGATTAATTTAGCCAACGATCGCTGTCACTTTATGTCTGGGTGCCTGGCCAGGAGTCAGGACTGTGTCGTATGTAGGGTTGCCCACTATTCACTGTTCGTTGCTACATTCAAGGGAATGCAACTGATGTATCTCCAATTGGAATTGACATATTCTGAATATTGCTTGGGCCAACCAAGCACAACATCTGATTATGCCAAAAGCCCTGGAGACGTTTATAAGGCTAAAACTGAATTGTTTATAACAGGGACCGCAAATAAGAGTTACGCATTTAAAAAAATTGAGGGTCAAAAGAACTCCCAAGAAGAGAGAGGAAATCACACATAAGGATTTGTTTTATGGCGCATTCAAAAAAAGGATAAACTTTTATTTGTAATTTTTTATTAAAAAATTATATTTAATTATTAAAATTGATTTTTATGATAAAAATCAAAAATAATTATTACAGAACAATTTTTATATAAAAACAAGTAAGAAAGCTCTAGTCGAGACTACTCGACTACGAGATCCCCTGAACCCTTGGAGTAATAGCTATTTCAATAATTTTTCGCGTCTTTCAGCTTACACAAGAAACACGCACACACACACACACACACGCACGCACGCACGCACGCACACACAGGCATACATACACACATACACACACACACACATACACAAACAATAACATACATATACACACACAAGCATAAACACGCATGGGCGGCAGTGAGCGCTTACTATGAGAACTTAATTGCTTAATAACTTTTTTGTGGACGTACGATCTTCATGAAACTTTCAGATTATGATTATGACATGGATATGCATGTAATTGCCAAAGCACAAGTCTCTAGTATTTGAAATACGCTTTTTACAAAAGTGTGGGTGAGGGGGTGAATTTAAGGGTGGGGGGTAATTTTTAACAAAAACCGAAATTGTATAAATTGCATACAGGCATACATTAAAAATTTCGAGACTCTAGCAATAAAGGTGTAAAAGATATAATTTTATAACTGGTTTTCGATAAGGTTTTTTATCGATAAAAAAGATCGGGATGAGTTATCGATTTTTAATGATAAACTTGATATGCGCGCTGTAATTACGAACATTTTAAAAAAAATTTGAAGTCTCTATCTCTTATATCTTCTGAAATCAACGCGTTCATACATACGGACAGACGGACAGACGGACGGACGGACAGACGGACAGACAGACGGACAGGGCCAAATCAACTCAGCTCGTCGCCCTGATCAAGAATATATATACTTTGTGGGGTCTGCCACGCCTCCTTCTGCCTGTTACATACATTTCAACAAAACCATTATACCCTGATTTCCCATTGAAAATGGGTTCAGGGTATAACAAGTAAGAAGGCTCCAGTCGAGACTGCTCGACTAGGAGATACCCTGAACCCTCTAAGCTGATATTCTAATCATTCTGCACTTCCTGTATGCACACATGCATCCACACGGACGCATAAGCCAGCGCTCTGCTAACTGCGCAGTAAGCAGCGACTGCGCTTGGGCTGCGCTGCAGTGTGGGCAATATTATGAGAATTTATTTGTTGAATAATTTCTATTGTAGACATACGATCTTAATGAAACTTTCAAAACGTAATCATATAATGAATGTGTGTGTACATTCCAAAGCCCAAGTCTCTAGTACTTGAAATTTTTTACAAATTGGGGGAGAAGGGGGCGTGGTATCCAAAATCTGTAAATTACCAAATCTTTGTATCGATTAACTTTATATATAACGCAAATTTGAAGACTCCAGATCTAAAAGTGTTCAAATTATAATTTACAATAAAATAAAAATAAAATATAATAAAATTTGATTTTCATTATAAAAATTGAACTGAAATATCTCTTGAACTAAAGGAGCTAGATCATATATTTATATATATATATATGATCTACGCATTAATAACTTTCATTTGATGTATAATACGTATGTAAATATGTACATGTATATGTACATATACATATATATTCAATTATATGCTTGGGCGCTTGTCCAGGGCACTTGCGCTGTGCACTTATCCGTACCTATTTAGCAGGTAATGTGAGGGGGAGACACATACAAATATAGCATAATCACTATATATATGTATGTACATACATATGTTTATATGTATATAGATGTATTATTGTCACCTTTCCCCAAAAAAAAGTTAATGATAAAGTCTATGGCAAGCAACATTCCTAGTGAGGATCTAGCTAAAAACTTGGAGAAGCGTGAGGAAATACTTACAACAAATGAAGTCATTCTGTCTTCAATTTATTTGGATCCCAGAATTCGGCGGATTCTTCTTAAGAATCCACTTCAGCTGGCGACAACCAAAAATCATTTGGTAGGATTGATGCGCCAAATACTTGCCTTAAATAAAAAGGTGAGCCTAATAGATAGGACGATGGGCTTGAAATGACATCGCAAAGCACATGCTCATTTTTGAACGCCTATTTGAACTCCATTGAGGTTGCGTCTGACTGTAAAGAGTCTGAGGAAGAAGACAAACCGGAGCTCAAATTGGCCAGAACCGAGAGGCCAATAGACTTAAACGTGGATATTATGTGCTATTGGGAGGACAAAAAGTTTACTTATCCACGATTGTACCGTCTTGCCAAGATAATTCACTCGGTGCCTGCCACGCAGGTTTCGGTGGAAAGGGCATTTTCTGCTCTTAAGCTTGTGCTGACAGATTTAAGGTCTAACCTTAGTGCAGATTTATTAAAAACAAGTAAGAAAGCTCTAGTCGAGACTACTCGACTACGAGATCCCCTGAACCCTTGGAGTAATAGCTATTTCAATAATTTTTCGCGTCTTTCAGCTTACACAAGAAACACACACACACACACACACACGCACGCACGCACGCACGCACACACAGGCATACATACACACATACACACACACACATACACAAACAATAACATACATATACACACACAAGCATAAACACGCATGGGCGGCAGTGAGCGCTTACTATGAGAACTTAATTGCTTAATAACTTTTTTGTGGACGTACGATCTTCATGAAACTTTCAGATTATGATTATGACATGGATATGCATGTAATTGCCAAAGCACAAGTCTCTAGTATTTGAAATACGCTTTTTACAAAAGTGTGGGTGAGGGGGTGAATTTAAGGGTGGGGGGTAATTTTTAACAAAAACCGAAATTGTATAAATTGCATACAGGCATACATTAAAAATTTGGAGACTAGCAATAAAGGTGTAGAAGATATAATTTTATAACTGGTTTTCGATAAGGTTTTTTATCGATAAAAAAAGATCGGGATGAGTTATCGATTTTTAATGATAAACTTGATATGCGCGCTGTAATTACGAACATTTTAAAAAAAATTTGAAGTCTCTATCTCTTATATCTTCTGAAATCAACGCGTTCATACATACGGACAGACGGACAGACGGACGGACGGACAGACGGACAGACAGACGGACAGGGCCAAATCAACTCAGCTCGTCGCCCTGATCAAGAATATATATACTTTGTGGGGTCTGCCACGCCTCCTTCTGCCTGTTACATACATTTCAACAAAACCATTATACCCTGATTTCCCATTGAAAATGGGTTCAGGGTATAAAAACGGGTATAATAATGTTCTTAAAACTAAATAAATAGTAAACTTATACTAAGTGTTATATCTATGGGTGCAGGGAAAGGTGACAATAATACATCTATATACATATAAACATATGTATGTACACACATATATATAGTGATTATGCTATATTTGTATGTGTCTCCCCCTCACATTACCTGCTAAATAGGTACGGATAAGTGCACAGCGCAAGTGCCCTGGACAAGCGCCCAAGCATATAATTAAATATATATGTATATGTACATATACATGTACATATTTACATACATATTATACATCAAATGAAAGGTATTAATGCGTAGATCATATATATATATAAATATATGATCTAGCTCCTTTAGTTCAAGAGATATTTCAATTCAATTTTTATAATAAAAATTGATCTGTAATAATTATTTTTGATTTTTATCATAAAAATCAATTTTAATAATTAAATATAATTTTTTGTAAATTTATCAAAAATCAATAATTATTTTTTAATTTTTGCTATAAAAATTATAATCGTTACGATCCCTGGTTTATAATAGTAAGATACATACATAATCATGGTCTATCTATTAGCTTATAAGTATTTATAAAAACTCCATCCATTTTTATACCCTAAGCCCAATTTCAATAAGAAATCAGGGTATAATGGTTTTGTGAAAAGTATGTAACAGGAGACGAAATCATCGCAGACCCCATAAAGTATATATATTCTTGATAAGCACGACGAGCTGAATCGATATAGCCCTGTCCGTCTGTCCGTCCGTATGAGGGAGCCGATCTCAGAAGATATAAAAGCTAGAGAGCTAAATACTCGTGTATACCCTACGCAGTACTAGTTTATCATATTGTTTTCGATAACTCATCCGATTTCTTTTTTATCGAGAATAATCAATAAATTGACTACGTTCTTTCAGCATGATTCGAATATCGCAGTCTCGACTAGAGCACTCTTACTTATTCAAGTCGGTGACGAATTGCAATTACCTTCCTAATTATTTAATGGGCAGTGGATTAGCTTTAGGTGTTTAGTTCCTTGCTACAGCAACTGGTTGTATGATGAAAGCGTTCTATCCCCTTGCTTAATTCGCTCATACTATGTGGATATCCCTTTGTATCCCTGACTAGGCAAGTGAGGCGACCAGTCAGTATGTCATATGGACGCCACTCTGACGCTCTAATTACCAGTTTGAAAACACGTTCATATATTGCACTTGCATATGT